CCACCGGCAATGTAGATACTTGTAAAATCGTAGAAAAAATAGAAGGAATCAAAAATAAAATTCCTTCTTCTATTGTATATCTTATATAGTGATGTAAATTACTTTTACATATATGTAATATTTTTTGACCTCCTACTCTTATACAAATAATAAAATAAAATAAAAACGTCACAATGCACATCTTCTTTGTTACAAGATTGTATAACCTAAAAGATCTTGTAGAATGATATCCTACGAGGACCAACCTCACTTTTATCTTGCAATTTTCTTCTTCTAGCATCTAGAACATGCTTGAAACACAATGAACCAAAAATTTTAAGATGGTTCACCACTAGTTTTCTGCCAAACTAGATATCTTCTAGTATTCTCTCCTTCAGCTTCTTTGTGGGACACTTATTCAACACATACATTGCAGTGGAAACTGCTTCCCCCAAAATGAATGTGGAAGTTTATTCTACTTTAGCATGTTTCGTGTCATGCCAATGATAGTACTATTCCTCCTTTCCGCTAGACCATTATGTTGTAGAGTATTTGAGATTGTAACTTCATGTTGAATGCCACATTCTATTCAGTAGGAATTGAATTCATTGGATTTGTATTCTCCACCTCCATTTGTTCTAAGAATTTTTAGTGCCTTCTCACTTTAATTTTCAACCATAAACTTGAATTTTTTTTGAAGATCGAAAACATATCATTCTTGGTCTTTATCAAATACAACCACATTATGCGACTATACTCATCTACAAAAGAAACAAAGTATTTGTGTTGTCCTAAAGAGGACACTTCAAATGACTCACATACATGAGAATATACCACATACAACAAATTTGTAGCTCTCATATGCATGTGTGATTTAAAAACATTTCTTAGTTGTTTTTCAAGAAGACTTCACACATTTTATCAGGTAAAGAAATATCTGATAGTCCAATCACCATTTTTTTGTCATTTAATTGTTTTAGACTTTGGAAATTTAAATGAACAAACCTCATACATTAACTTTCCACCTTTTGAAGCCTTATTTGAAACGTTCTATTCTTTGAAAGAGGAGACTTCGACACTAACCTTTGTCTTGAGTCATATATTTTTAGTAAATCATTTTTCATGGTAGTCGAGAAACCCTTTTCTACCAGTTGACCTACACTCAAGAAATTGCATTTCATACCACAAACATTTCAATGATTGTTACCTTGTCTTCATCTCTCTTGATCACAATATCACCAACACTTGCAGTTGTTATAATGTTGTCATCAGCAAACATAATTTTGCTTTGTTTACTTGCATCAAGATTTGAGAGCAGTCCTTGTGCCCAATCATATGGTTAGAGCATCTAGTGTTAAGAAACCAATTTTCTGAGAAAAATTCATCATATTGTGTTGTAATTATAAGTAGTATGGGTTCTTCATCAGACTCATCTTGAGCCACATAGGTTTCATTCTGTGAATCTTTTCTCTACTTTCCTTTGTCATGCGAACATTCAACTGCATGATGCCCTCATTTTTTCACAATTATAAAACTGAATTTTCTTTCTATCTTGACCTTTCTTTTCACCTCGACCTTCGTAAATCCTCTTCTGTTGCACCCATTTGAGGATTATGATTTCTCTATTGCAACTACAATGTAATCTAATTTAGAAGAAAGTGTTCTTAGGATTTTTTCCACCATATTCTGATTTATCACTGATTCTCCACAACCCCTCATTGAATTCACAAATAGCTGGATTCGGTTGAAGTAATCTATAATGGACTCTTGATCAAGTATAGATAACATTTCATAGTATCTTCTGAGAGACTGCAACTTCACTTTCTTGGTCTTTTCACACCTTCATATGCTTTGTACAAAATATCTCCAACCTTTTTAGCTGTTTTGGATTTAAAAATCTTCTCAAAGGTCACAAGATCCATACACTGAAATCTTTCTTCTTAGTTGTAACATCATCTTTCTCACGAGTGTCTTCTTTTACCATTTCTAATATTTCTTGATAACAAGAATATCTTCCATTCTTATCTCCCAATGATCATAGTTCTTGCTATCAAGAACTGGCAAAGTAGATAGAAAAATTCCACCTCCATTTGAAGCCATGACAACCTTGTAAGTTCCAAGCTTTCGTGTTTTAGATACCACTTGTTGGAGGAAAGGAGGGATGAATGAAAATTACATAAACAATACCCGTTTATTCCTCTGTATACAAAAATACAAAAATTACAATAAAAGACTTAATTTATAGAGTTTATTGAATATAACAAAACAAACTAACAAACTAAATGTTACTTGAATTAATTACAACAACAACTAAGTAGAACTTATTGTCAAATAGATAATCTTACTTCAAACTTTTCTTTTAATAATTTCTTACTTCTAATATTAACTTCATCACCATGAATCTTTGTTCCATAACTTAACTTATGAAATATTTAATATCCAATGATAATCAATATGTTTAAAATTTTAAATAAAAAGTGAAATTTTTATTAATGTGAATAACATTATGATCATCTTTGAAAAATAAATATTTTTTTTAATAAAATCAATCTCTTACAAAAATTTCTTTATCTATAACAACTCCTTTTATGATTTAGTAGTAATAACGAATTTTAAATGTTAGTAGAAAAATCTACCCATCTTTACATCTTAGACTATCAAGTCATATTTTCATATAAATTTAATAAAATATCTCATAGAAGGACTTCTTATAATAAGTTTCTCAAATCATATGTAAATTTTATCTAAACAATATTGTGTATCAAAGTAAAATAATGGAAATACTTCACAATATATTTCACAATATTCCAATACTATCAACTAGGTTTCACGTAAACCTACTAATTTTATCAAACAACTTCATAAAAAAATCTAATATATAATATTTTATCCTCATTTTGTAGACTATGTTAAGTACATATCTTAAAATAACAGCAAGAGGTATTCACCCTTTTCTTTTCTTTTTTTTCATTTGAAATTTTTGCAACACTTTTTTAAATATAATATTATTTAATAATTTTTTTTCCTTCATTCTCTCTGATTCTTATATCAAGAATGAAACTCTCGTATTTTTCATAAAAAATAACTCATTCCATTGTTTCTTCAACTTATCAATAACGGAAACTTTTCTTAACAATAAACATGTTACGCCATATAATAATATTATTATAATAAGAAATTGAAATATTGGTGTTTCGTTGTATATATCTATAACTTGATAAATACCATCATCAATTCTTCAATAATTTCTTACATTAGTCAATTTTCTTTCAAAACTTAAACTACATATTCTAAAGTATGAGACATAAAATATACTTTTAATTCGTGTCATCAGAAAAGTTTTATCAAACTTTCATGCTTAATATTAAATGTTTTTTTATTGAAAATTTAATATCTCTAAACCAAGTTCTTTATAAAAAATGGTGTTGATTATAATAAATGATTAATCTTAACATAAAAAATAAATTTTTATCAATAAATGACATTTTTATTATTAAATTAAATAAATAAATAAAAGAGAATAATATTGAGAAATAAATACTAAGAGTAAGATAAATTATGTGATTGTGACTTTATTTTTTAGTTTATTATATAATACATCTTCTCATATTATTTTATACCTTGTAACTAAATAATATATTAAACATAAGAATCAATTTATTAAGTTTTATATATTGATAGTCATATCATTGATTTATTTTATAATAACCTTTTATAATATTTAACTTATTTATAAAATAATAAGTTGTATCAGATATTCTGCTGTAGATTTTTTCAATATTTTTAATTTTACTTATTTTCAAAAAATAAATTCAAATACATATGAGATTGAATTTTATTTTAAAAGCTAACCAATTGCACGATAAAAAATAAAATTAAAATGATTATCTCGAGTTTATTCCTCCAAAATTATACAATTCTTTAATACCTCACTATACACGAGATATATGAGTAAGAAAAAAACATTAAATATATATATTTTTTAAAATCATCATATGTATTCAAATAAGATTTTGAAATTATTGGTTATAATTATACGAAAGACAAAAACAAAGAATATGAAATACAATGAGAAATGCAATTAAAAAAATAAAATTTAATTAAAATCTGTTAAATTTATTGCAAAGATAATAGGTATAATTATAAACTTTATTATTAAATAAAAATAATCTTCCATAATTTTTTTTTCAAAAGACGTGGTCTAACAGGTTATTTACCAATTTGATGTAAATTTTTTGAAAAAATTCGATTGATTATTACGAACTACAATTTTACAATGAAAAAAAAATCTTATTTTAATTTTAAAATTTGGTATTTTTTAAAGATCGTATTATTTAATATAATTTTTAATATTAATAAAATATTAAAAATCATATAATATAATGTATTTTTACATTTTATTTTTTAACAATAATGATTATTGTAATAAATAATAATAATAATAATAATAGTAATAAAATAATTATTAATTATTATAAAATAATTTTTATATTATTAATACAATTAATAATAATTATCATTATTATTATATATAATAATAATAATTTATTAAAAAATAAAAATAAAAAATCATAGTTTACAATACGATTTCATTATTCATATTATGATATGATTTAAAAAAAATTAAAACTAAAATTATACTATCTGTCATGATTAATTTAAAATCATATTTTTTTTACAAAATTTACTTATTTTCGTAATTATTTTAAAAATTAACCATCCGTAACAAAAAAAATAAAAAATTCTGCTGTAATATCTGTACATAAATTGGGATGGGCTCACAGATACCAAAGAGAGAGAGTGTGGTCACGCGAGTGGCGAGTGCGGACAAACACAATATCTATATATAATATAGCGTAAATGTAACGCATTGGCACGTGTTAGTTTGTTTTGTTGGGACCCGTTACGCTACTATATATACTGATCAGAGGTGTAGTTTTCTTTGGCAACAGAGACACCAAGCTCTCACTCACTCACTCATAGGCTTAATTTTGAAGTGGGATTCCCCAGAATTCTCAAAGATGTCTTCATCAGGAGGCAGAGGAAGCCAGGAAGAGGAGAAGAAGACCTCTGATCAAGGAGCACATATTAATCTCAAAGTGAAGGGCCAGGTCTCAATTCTCTCTTCACCTTCACTTTCATCAATTTCATCCTTTTTCTTGTTCACAGATAAAATAAAAGAATTGTCTTCTTCGTTACGTGATTTTGTTTCTCTTGCCTGTGAACGTGTTTAATTCCTTCTTGTGATGAGAAATGATTTTTTGGTAGCGGTTTCACGTGCAAGTGTTTATGTTGTTCATTGCATGATTCGCATATAATTTTATTTCATAGACATGATATGAGAGAGCTTGGATTCGTGTTGAGTTTATTTGGAAAGTATCTGACCAGAGAACCCAATTCTTAAACGATATTTGAAGGCATTAATGGTGAAGGTTACTCTAATTCTCCGAAGATTATGTCAGATTTTTAAGAGATTTTCATTCTAGTGGGTTTTCAATGAAATTTATTCGGATTTAGCATGTTGTCTTGAATTTGAAGGTAGATAGGCCACTTTAGCTGTTTTAAATATTCTAAAACTAGTTTTGTCCTCTAAGGATTATATGCATAAAATTTCTTTTATCGTTTGGATTAAACGAAGGAAGGTGAGATAATTGTAAAGGAAACAAAGAAAGAAAACTAGAGTTCAAAGTGAGGTACCAAGTAGAAGAGAGTAAAATGGAGTAGAAATAGAAATAATTTTGTTTATTATTTTTTAATTATTATTATAATATTAAAAAAGAACACAAACTACCAATATAATGGATTATGCATATCTCAACATTATCATTGTTTCATAAAGGAGGATGTTCTATTTTGAAACGAAAGTGAAAGAATCAAGGAAAGAAATCGCAATTTATTTTTTCCTTGTTATAAAGATTTTTTTTTTTTAACTTTCCATTCATACAAAATTAAGACCATGCACCCAAATCTTTCTTCCACTACAGAGTTTGAACAAATGACTTAGTATTATTTAAAAATAAGAGCTAGCTATGGATTTGTCTTTGTCTCTATGACAATGACATGCTTCATCCTTGCCAAGTTATCGTGAAGGCTGTAGACTTTTATTACCTTTGTTAGAAACTTTTTTTTTTTTTCTATTTAAGGTTTTAATCTGTAATTGAAATGGCTGCATTTCTATCATTGGATAATTATTATTCTGAGGGCAGTTTAAAATGAATTTGAGAGACCATCATAACAAAATGTAAAAGAGCTATGTTCACTTGAAACAAACTTACTTTTTTTTATGTGAAAATAACTTATTTCATCTGTGAATTTAGAAGAATTATACATTTTAGTATTGAGTCAATGGCTTCTCTGTGCTCTGTTTGGAGAAACAGAGATAAGATCCAAATACTTTTTCCTTCAGAGAACAAGTGATATATATAATCTATTTGAGGCATATGTGGAATGGTGGATATGGAGTTATTTAGTACAATTTTTCATGTCTTTGTCATACAAAGTTTTTATGATGCATTTATGTAGTTCAGTTCTGCTCCTTTGACACATGTTCATTGTTCCACCTTAGTTTCTCTTCCTATCTATTTTGTGGAATGGTTGATATGGAATTATTTAGTGCAATTTTTTGCCTCTGTCATACAAAGTTTTCACGATGCATTATAGTTTAGTTCAGTTCCTTTGTCATCGACACATGTTCATTGTTCTGCCTTAGTTTCTCTTCCTGTATACTTTGGATTTTTTTTGGAAACCATTACATGTTCATCTCGTTTATTATCTTTACCGACTAAGATTATCTCGAAATACAATTTTGTTTTTGGGGAATTTTTCTACATATTTTTTCTCATTTTGAGATTATTGTAGGATGGCAATGAGGTTTTCTTCAGGATTAAAAGAAGTACTCAGCTCAAGAAACTCATGAATGCATACTGTGATCGACAATCTGTAGATTTTAACTCAATTGCTTTCTTGTTTGATGGAAGGAGACTTCGACCTGAACAAACCCCTGATGAGGTAAACATGGCTTGGTTATGGAGTCAAGTTCCATCTATTAACTGTTACAAAGTATAATGCCATTATTACGTGCCTTTGTCCAAACAATATACAAGTACCAATATTTTGAAAGAAAAATACACTATACATAATAATAAGAATGCAAAATTAAAGTGGGAAAACTGAAAAAATTAAAAGAACATTTACTGTAGATTTTTGAAAAATCTGAGAAATTTCAACATTGTGCAGCTAGAGATGGAGGATGGGGATGAGATAGATGCAATGTTACATCAAACCGGAGGTGGACATACGTTTCTTTAAATGTATGTTGATGTTTTCCAATATGGATTTCTCGTTGAAGTCTTGCTGCTATAATTGTGTTGGATATAATGTCATAGTCTTCCCAGTTCACTTGGACTTGATGAATTTGTATTGTTTGTTTGGAATTAACGAATATTGATATTTTGGTAAACATTGATGTTTCATAGTTTGCAATACATGCTTTACCTAATTTGGTTTCTCCACGTGATATTGCAATGAAGTCAACTTAAAAGGAATGACTTGTTGAAAAAAATATTATTTTTATTTTGGTATTATATATTATAAGAATCATTATGCAATTCCATAAAATGCATGGTGTGGTTGTTGATGAAAAATTGAAGCCTAAGGTAACCTAACCATCAAGGAAAGGTCAACACCAAACATTAGGATTAGAGGCATTGTCGAGTTCGAATTGGCAATTTTTTTTTATTAAGATATATTTTGAGAAGGATGCTGAAGTGAGATTAAGTTAGAGTGATATATTTTTGTTAATTTTTAGTTGTAATTACGAAAGTTTAGGATATTGAACTAACTTTTATGTTTTTTACTTTTAATCACATTTTTACATAATATAATTTTATTTATGTTATCTTAATTATAAAATATTATAATATTATTTTCATTATTTAAATAGATTTATTTATTTATTTGTCAACGGATATAATTCTATTAATAAATTTATATCACCGATTTGGAATATTTGTCGATAATATAAAAATTGGTAGATAAATAGGTAAACATTCTATGTCCACTATGAATAAAGTAATTCCGTCCAAAACTAAAGAAGAAAAGTACATATCTTTTGTTGATAAAATAAATAAAAATTTAATTATATTAATTAATTTTTTATAAATTAAATACAAAAAAATAAAAAAATCTTGATAATTTTATCTAGAGTATTAATGTCCAATTCTTATAATAAAATACTATATGTACGTATATAATATTATAATTTTATATTATTATCATTATTTGATATTGTTCATATCATAATTAAATATGTTAATTTATTTAACTTAATTTTCTTCAAAAAGAAAAAAATGTAAAAGTTATAAAATTTAAATGATAAAATAAAATATATGAATTATTTAATTATTAAATATCTATATATGAATTCTTTGATTAATAAATATTAATTTATGATTTATTTAATTAATAAACATTAAAATATTGATTATTCAATTAATAATTATTAATTTTTGAGTTACTTAATTAATAATTATTAATGTGTTAATTATTTCAAAAACCATTTAAATATTTAATTAATAAATATTAATATATTATTCATTTAATTAATTATTATTAATCTATTAATTATTTTTATTGTATTCATTAATTAATTAATTAATATATATTAATCTCTTAATTATTTAATAAATAAGATTTAATCTATTAGTTATTTAATTTATAAAATTAACTAGTATATTAATGGGAGTTGTTTAGTGAGATACTAAAAATATTTAAAGAAGTTGTTATTAATAGTTATTTACGAATAAAAATTAATATTTTATCATAAATCTCATATTTATTAAAAATAAAGAAAATTGTTTAAAATTAAAAAAAATTATTTATATAAATAAATCTGATTAATTTTAAGTAATTTATATATAGGATCTATAATAAAATATCTATTTTATTTTTAGGTAGTAATTTTACTAAAAATTTCCTTGAAAATGTCCGTAAAAATAATTTATATTAGAGAATTAATTTTTTTTAATAGTTATTTTATCAAACAACTTACAAAAATAAAATAATCTATATGATAAAAAAAACTCATATGAATTACTCAAAATAACTAAATCAAATGTTCTTAAATAATTAAATAATTGATATGATAAAAAAACTCATATGAATTACTCAAAATAACTAAATCAAATGTTCTTAAATAATTAAATAAGAGAGATTAATACTATTATATATAATAAAGTTAAAAGTTAATTATAAATTTAAAAGAGAGATTATACTATTAGAATAACATTCTTGTAATTCTTAATTAAAATAAATCTAAAATAAGAAATTATTATATGTTTGTATTATTGATATATTTTAATTTTATTTTATACAAATCACAAATACCAATATATATTATAATTAAAATAATGCAATTTTAATATATTTATATTTATTCATTTGTGTATAAAAAAAAAGCATAACAGTATTTTATTTTTGGATTGAATAATATTAGTAATTCAATTTATCTATGTTATATGTAATTAACCTTAAACTTAGTATAATTATCAAACTAACATAAAAAATTATTATGAAAAATAGTTTAATTAATTAATTTATTTTAAAATTTAAAGTAATTATATTTAAATATCTTACTGTGAAATTAATTATTTTTATTATTATTTTTTACCATAATATCATTAGATCTATCATTATTTAAATAATTCTATCTATAAAATTAAAACAAATCATTTTAACCATAATTAAATAAAATTAAGTTTTAAATTATATTATTGCAATACTATTTATTCTTTAAAATGTAGTAAAATTGTATTGCATTAAATAATTTTATAAATAAATATAAATATGTCATGAAATAAAAGGTTAATGAAAGTACAAATAAACCTAAGTCAAGATTTAATCACATAAATCTCTAAACGGTAAAATTTATCTATTTGTTTCCAAAATTTCTATTAACCTAATTTTGAAATAACTAATTAATTAAAGTAAAAAAATCATTTAATGATTTTATTAACGTTATTAGTTCTTAAGCGTAGAATTTGGATGAAAAATCATTAATAGATAGGTAAAGTCATGTTTTTATAAATTTAAACGAATTTCAATTAATAATAAAGTTAATCTAACGTATACTATATATGGTGCTTCTTTCTTGATATAACAGTGTGTGTGGGAAGATACTGATACTAATTCAACTAAACATATTTATCTGAAATTATTTTTGAGAGATATGTATAGTTTGATTACAATGATTTTAAAATTAACTGCCATTATACCTAATTAAAATGCTAACTAAAATATGCATTTCATAAAAAAAAATGCAAATTAGTTTGCTATGTATATATAATCATCGTTAAATATCTCTCTATTAATTTCAATGTGAATTTATGACATGTTTGATGACTTTTGTCACTCTTTCCGTCACAAAACTGTAGAGACAGAAATTCCAAAAAAAAAAATGAAATAAAGTTATAAATAAATATAAGATCAAGTGCACGGCACAACAATTATAAGAAGGTATGTTAATAGGGCAACCGCGTATAAGACTGCATGAGCCTCAACCTTGTTCCTTCATTGTCATATATACATTACCATGATCTAATTGATTATTCACTAAATAATATACTTTGTTCTACACTTTTTTATTGGTAGATATATTGATCCACTAAATAAATAAAAAAGTATAATAATTAAATAAAACAAAAATAAAATCAATAAAAATGATAAAATAAAGTAAAAATGTACATTAGTGTGTAAGATTGATGATAAATATCAAATGCATCAAATAAAAAATACTTAATGATGATCAAGTTAGCTTTTTTTTTGGTATAGTTTCATTTGATAAATTAACTCGAGCACACAAAATAAATAAATAAATAAATAAATAAATAATAATATATATATATATATATATATATATATATATATATATATAATTATCAAGTTAATCTTGTCATGTTAATTATATAAAGGTTCAAGTATTCTAATTAGTCCCACCATTTTTTTTATTGGATAAATTGGTCCACTAAAGAAATAAACCTATATGATAATTAAATAAAACAAAAATAAAATTGATGAATATGAAATAACATAAGTTTGAGATTAAAGATAAATATCAAATGAACCGTGATGCACTTCGCCATAAAGGTTTAGCATTGAGTAAACTATAATCATGATCAATAATTTTTCATGTCATTGTTTCGTTGGTTAAGTCAATTTGAGTACCTAATATTTAAACTCTAAGAAATTATGTTAATCATGGAAATCATATATGGGAGATAGGAAATCATGATAAACATGTAACATAGGAAATGCGAGAGAAGATCAGGTTTTGGGATGATGTGTGGTATGGGTAACAAAGTTTAGGTAATTTGTTCCCAAGAGGAACAAATAGGACTGAACAAAAATGGGGTGTTATCAGAACATGGTGAGTGGATTGAAAATAGATGGGAATGGAGAGTAAATTGGAGAAGACAACGTTTTGAATGGGAGAAAGAAATAGAGGAGGAAATGCAAAGTAAAATTCAGGGCATAACACTTAATAGAGATACAGAAGATACGTGGGTGTGAGGACCAAATAAAAAATGAAGGATATATTGTAAAAGAAGCATACGGGTTTCTATCCAAAGTAACTTGTGATGAGAATGAATCGATCTTCAAATGGTACTGAAAAATTAAAGTGATACCAAAAGACATGGTTATAGGGTGGAGAATTCTTCAGGATAGAATCCCTACTAAGGTGAATCTAGTTAGGAGAGAAGTTGCTATAGGTGACCAAAAATGTGTTTTGTGTGGATCCGGAATTGAGGACGAAACATCCAATCATCTCTTTTTCACATGTAAGGTGACCAGTGAGATTTGGGAAAAGTGCTTTAGATGGGTGGGAATTAGCTTTGTTAGTCACTGTGAGGCGAAAGCAAGCCTGGAAAGCTTTGCATTAGGTGGATTGGGAGCGAAGGGAAATACGTTATGGAAAAGACTATAGTTAGCAGTGGTATATGAAATTTGGTCTCAAAGGAATAAATGTATTTTTAAAAATGATAAATTTGATGCATAAGTAAGATTTAGTAAAACGAGTGCAAAATTCATTATTTGGTGTGCTAGAGACTGGGATGGAGCAAGTCTAACAAATTTCGATTGGTTCTATGAACCGATAAGGTGTATGAGGTTAATTGTTCTCTAACTTTTCTTTTGTCCATGCTGGCTGGTACATGTTTTAACAGACTAAAGTATGAAATTACACTACAAAGAAGAGAATCCATATAAGAAGACGGAGGGTGGCAGTATCCGAGGATTATAAGACATGTTTATCAGCCTTGTTGTAATCTATGTTATTGTTAGGATTATTTTCGAAGCTAGTTTCTTTTGGCAGGGTTATTGAACTTGCGTTCTTTGGCTTTTGTGATTTGCCCAACTTTGTGACCCAACAGGTTTTTTTAATTTTCTTTCATCTAGCTTCTTTCAGATGGATTTAGGTTGAAGTATCCTTGTACTTTTATTAATTTTATTCTTTGTTGCCGATAAAAAAAATGGAAATCATATATTTTCTTTCTTCACATTTATTCAACAATTATATATATAATGGTCCAGTTAAGTATGTCATATTGACTATTTAAATCCTTATTAAGGTTCATAAGATAGATTAGTGGATTGAGCAACCTACTCATCCCACCAATTTTTATTGATTTGGGAGATTGATCCACTAAATTAATAAGTGCATGTAATTATTAAATAAAACAAATATAAAATCAATAAATATGACAAAATAAAATAAAGATGCACATAAATATAAGATCAAGATAAATATCAAATACATTATTGTTTTATTAGTTAAGTTAACTTGAGTGCACAATACACAAACTCTAAGAATGTATGTTACTCAAGGTAATCATGTATAAAACAATACAATTTTTACCACATTTTATTTTCTTTCTTATTTATTAAATAATTATATATAATAGTTGAGTTGACCACGTCATCTTGACTAATTAAAGTCATGTTGAGTTGATAAGATAGATTAGTCAATTGAGTCGTCCCATTATACTTTTTTATTGATTTAACAGAGTTGGTCCACTAAATAAATAAACGCGTAGAATAATTAAATGAAACAAAAATAAAATCAATAAATATGACAAAATAAATTAAAGATATACATTAAAAATAAAATTAATAATAAACATCAAATATAAGGTACATTTACCGAGAAACATTTAATATTAATTTGACCATAATTATAATTAATGAATTTTCGTGTCAAAGTTTCATTGGTTAAACTAACTTGAATGAACAATCCACAAAAACTAAGAAAGAATATTACTCAAGACTAATATGTAATATCTCCATCTCACTTCTTCTTTTTCTTTTTACCACTTTTCTTCTGCACTATATATCACTATTTCTACCACCTTTCTTTCTTCACATTTATTAAAGAAGGGTAACATAGAACTTGCTTGAGCCTAGACACCAAACCCTATGCCTCCTAAGAGAAATAAGCAAAAGCTTCCCCAAGATGCACCCCAAGGTTTTTTTTTTGTTAAAATCATTTAGATTTCAGTCATGATGTTCCAATTTTTTTTATCTGAATGCATTGTGGTTATATCGAAATAAATTGCACAGGATAAATGTGTTATTAATTTCTTATAAGGTCAAAAATCATGGTGAAGTTTAAATTATGATTGCAATTGATGACATGATATTTTGTGATCAATTTTCAAAATCATTCACAGATCTCTCCTACATTTGTCGATTTTTGTCGATTTTTGTAGTGATTGATCTTCATTGTTTGTGATTCGGCTTTATCTTCATTATTATTGTTGTTATGGGTGGTGAAAATGATGTTGTTGTTGGTAGAAGTGATTAGGTTATTGTTATTGTTGTTTAATCTCTTTTTCTCTTGCATATTTTTTAGGTCCTACAAGTCAACCAATGATAGAAGAGGATGAGGATGACGAAGACTACGAGGATGACGAAGAGTACGAGGATGACGAAGAGTATGAGGACGATGAAGAGTACGAGGACGATGAAGAGTATGTTGGCTCGACTTTTATTATGTGTTTTATGCTTTATTTAATTTTTTTTTTACTTTATTATTGGTTTGTTGTTACTTTATAAATTTCTTATTGACATAAATTATATATTAATTCTACCATAATTTATTGTGTAATTTTACAATTTTTTTGTCAATTTATACAAGATTTTTAAAGTTTGATTGATCATTAAACAAGTTTATTCTAAAGGTTTATCTAATTATCATTCAACCAATGATAATTAAATAATGTTTTTGATATAATTAAATAATGAGTTTGATTGAAATTTTGATCTCTAAGTTCATAATTGTGCAATTTTAATTCCTTGAATTCTATGTAAAATAGGACCTCCATGAATTTGAAACATAATTTTGATCCCTTTCTCAATCATCAAAATTTTTGCTTAAGATTTTGAATATATTTTCTTCATTAAAGAAAATATATTTTTGTAATGAATTAGTGTAAACAAATTAATATTCAGCTATATTTGTGCATTGACTTATCTATACCAATTTTACACTAGTTTTTTTTTAAAGACAAGTTTCATGATCTAATGGAGAAGTTAGTGAAGAATTTATACTCAAATTGGTCTCACTTATCCAATCCAAATGGCTACTCTAGCCATATGCTAACAATATAGACATAAATATGCTTGATTTGAATAGATTTTTCTAAAATATTGTTTAAGATTTTGTAAATTACATGCAAAATTTTGTTTTAACCAATAATATTAATATTATTTTTTGAATCTACTTCTTAGTTATTGGAAGGTTTGTGTAGGTTAGATTTTTTTTTTTTTCTCGTAAGTGCTTCTCTAAGAAGATATCTTCCAAACAAACATGTAATAATTGTTTAATCTAGTCCATCATCATGTCTCATGTGTCTTGCAAAATATTTTGTTGTTATTAGTATCAAGACTCAATTTTTTATTTTAGGTCACAAGACATTTTTTTCAAAGTGTCACTTGTCACCATAATCCTTCTCCACACATATGTTGTGTTTGAGTTGTTATAGTCATATTAAATAATTATTTAATTGATATTATCTATTGCTCAATAATTATTGTCTTTAATTTATTTTAATTTTATCCTTATTTCACTTTTATTTTATTTATATACTATGACATTGATATGTTAAACTAATATTTCAGACGTCATATTAAGTTTGAGAATTTTTATAGGTTTTCTTTCATATTATTCTATATTGGTTAAAATATGAAGTTTAAACTTAAAAAAAAACTATATAATTTAATAAAAAATCTTAAATTTTAAGATCTAACTTGTTAAATTTATATATGCTAAGTTTCCATAACATTTCAACTTTGTTTTTTCATAGGATGCACGAGGTAGACTTGGAAAACTTACGTAAGGATGTTGAATGTCCAATCTGCCTTGGTATGTATGCACATTATTTTTTTTTAATAGATGAAAGTAATTTTTTGTTAAACAAAACTATTTTAGTAAAGTATTTAAATGATCACTTTATGATAATTTTACTTGCAAGATAATTATGCTAAAATGTTTTGTGACTAATAAGAATGAAACTGGAACTTCACGAAACTCTTGAAGGTTCCAAACCATGGATATTGTTCAATATAACCTTGAATGTGTGCATTATTTTTTAAAATCTATGTCTATGCTACTATTTGGATAAGATATTTAAACTTTGAAGACTCATGTGGCCTAGACATATTTGTCATAGAGAATAGTTATAGGTTTCTAGATGGTTGTTGCACAACTTATTCGAAATGATCTTTGAAGAATATACAAATTTTCTTCAAGTTTTCTACAATAGCATAAAATCACTCATATCTTGATATACATCACTTCACCTTCAACCACGCATCTATATCTTTTCTCGTCTATGTCTCCAATGGACATAAAATTCTTCTTCAACTCGGTAAAAACCTGAATTATGTCATCATGCATCTTAATTTGAAAGGACCAACTCATGAAGAATTATTGCACATCTACATGTTACCACCTACAAAGTCTTCAAACATGGTCAACTAGACTCATTGATCAAACAAATGTTTGTGTGAAACAACAGAGAACACCACCAGACTCTGATGAGGTGTTATTCTGAATCATGATAGTAAGATGATCCTTATTATAACATCTATTTGACAATCTTTTCTCCATTGACATGGCTACTTGGAGTAATGACAAACATCTTTTACATTAATCTTTTCCTTGTCCTATTTATTGATATTCTTAAAGGCTACCAACCAAGAAAATAATATTCTTTATCATGACCATGTGCCTTGTGTTGACATTTTCTTTACAAAATTCTCGAAGACATGCGAAACAGGGGCTATATTGTAACATCTTCATCATTTGTCTTTATATTTATGTCTCAAAGTTTTTCAAAATTGAATTGAGTTCACCAAAATGAGCCTTCAAGATATACTTTCCTTCATATGTAATCCAAACATTAGTCTTCAACAATAACTTGTTACAATGAATTTTGCCATAAAGAGTTTGTCTATCCTTATGCATAACCTAGATGAAGTATTTTTTTTAAGAGAATTCATAAAAATGTTTGTTTGATAATGATAGAAGAATAATTGAATGTGCATTTTCTTTTCATATATCTAGAAGGTACTTCTCGACATGTGACATATTGTAAAAAATAAGTGCTCATTCACCTTACTCATTTAGCAATGCTTGATCCTTCACATATATTGAAATTATTTTTCACAAAAGAACTTCATGATCATCTTCTTACAACCTAATCTTAAAGATACAATCATAGAAAAAGTAAGTAACTCAAGCTCAAGTACTAGTTTGTTGTACAATAGAGCAAGAATAAAACATTAAGAAATGTCTTATGTGTAAGAAAATTTCTAAACCTCATAATCCTTACAAACTCATTCCAGAAATATATCCTGGATTAGTTATTCCGAAACTCATTTTCGTATTGGATGTTCTGGAAGGTATTTTCAAAATAGTCAATCCAAAATACGTTTCTAGAACACTCAATTCAAAAGTGCATTCTAGTTTAATTTTTATAGAACTTATTTACAAAATGTATTTCCAAACAATTCAAAATGCATTTTCGAAACCTAATACAAGAAGAAGATAGATGTAAGGATAAAATAAAATTTATTTTAATTATGGGATAAAAAAATTATGAGAGATGAAAAGAAATGGACATCTTGATTACATATTACAAATGTCTAATTTCTTTAAAATTTGTTTAGCATTATCAATGATACTACATTTATTTCTCTTATAAACAGATAAGTATGATACTACATAGGTTATATTATTATAGTAACATAAGTAGAAAGTTTTCCATACTTTGATTTCTTTGTTTTCCATTCTTCTTCATCTTCCATCTCCCTTCTTCCTTTAACTACCATTCCTTTAAGTTTTGTCTATTAATTCGCCCCTCAATCTTCTCATACTTATTTTTTCTTCTCTTGTCATTTTTATTTTTCCTTCCCTTTATTTTTCACATCCTCGATGCTCATAATACTATCACTTTAAGACTTAAAAATATCCATCTCATACAAATTAGGTCAAAGTTAAGGACTATTCACATTAAAGTCATCCCACTTTACTACTCATATTTGGAGCCAAAATTAAAAAAACTAGACCTTACTATTTAATCTACCTGGCTTGTTGCCATGTGATTTATACAATTCACTTCAATCTAAAAATAATTAGCATGAAACCTATTGTTCACAGTATTATCTATCTTCATTGGATTATTGCGATAGAAATCACCTTGCATTTATTTCGAGATTATGCACTTGTTAAACAGATTATGACTCTTTTCCATCTATCTAATAATCATTATTTCTGGTCTTATGGAAATTCCAAACAGTGTATATAGTTTAATAGTTCGTAGGATATTATGAATCTTGATAGTTCAATGGCCATCTATTTGGCTCTCGTTATTTACAACATTTGGAGAGAAATGAATGATATATCATTCCAAAATAAGTCCTTTTGTCATCATTTTGCTTATCAAAGGATGCCAGTGGATGTTATGATGTCTAAGAGGGCTATAGTTTCATCCAAGGATATGGTAGATTCATCTTAGTTAAAAGACCTAAACCTTCCCCTCCCCTTTGTGTAAGTGTAATGCATGGCTTAATGCTACAAGGGAGTAAAGTTGCTTCATGTGTAAGAAACTTTAGTGAACATATTGGATAATGATCTTATTGATTTCCTAGAAAAAATTATTAAAGGCCACTAACCCATAAAATAATATCCTTTGTCATGACTATGTGCCTTGTGTTGACGTTCTCTTGTACAGAGGTTGAACTTCTTCAAGTTTGACACAATTTTTTACTACACAAAAAAAACTTATAAAGTTCTGGTACACAAGCCAAAGAGGGGTTATATTGTATCATCTTCATCATTTTTCTTTATATTTATGTCTCAAAGCTTTTCAAAATTTAATTAAGTTCACCAAGATGAGCGTTCAAGATATACCTTCCTTCATATGTAATATAAAGATTGGTCTTCAAGAACAACTTAATGGATTTCATCATAAGGAGTTGTCTAGCCTTATGCATAACCTAGATGAAGTCTTTTCTTAGAGAGTTCATAAAAATGTTCGTTTGATAATGATAGAAGAATAATTAAATGTGTCTTTTCTTTTCATATATCTAGAAGGTACTTCTCAATATGTGACATATTATAAAAAAAATGTTCATTCTCCTTACTTATTTAACAAGGTCATTATCTTGGTCATTATCTTGATCCCTTACATATTGAAATTATTTTTCACAAAAGAACTTCTAAATATTAGATATGATGACCATCTTCTTACAACCTAATAATCTTAAAGATACAATTATAGAAAAGGTGAATAACTCAAGTTCAGGTATTAGTTTGTTGTGCAAGCATAGCAAAAAGAGAATATTAAGAAATGTCTTATATGTGTAAGAATCATTTCAAACCTCATTATCCTTACAAATTCATTCTGAAAATGTATCTCAAATTAGTTGCTCCAAAACTCATTTTCTGATTGAATATTCTGAAATACATATTTAAAATAGTTCATTCATAATAAATTTTTGAAATACTTAATTCAAAAATGCATTTCAAATTAATTGTTTTGAAACTTATTTTCAGATTAAATGTTCCAGGAATACATTTTGGATTGGGTATTCTAAAGATGAGTTCCTTGACTTGTTAATCCATAATGCATTTCTAGAACAAAAAATATCTTAAATGTATTTTCGAAACTCGATCTCGAGAAAAAAATAGATATAAATGTAAAATGAAATTATTTTAATTACAGGGTGCATGAAAAAATTACGGAGAAACAAAAAGAAACTCTCAATTACATATTACAAATGTCTAATTTCTCTAAAATTTATTTACCATTATCAATGATATAACATTTATTTCTCTTATATATATATAGATAAGTGTATGATACTATATATATTATTATTATAGGAACATACATAAAAAGTTTCCATTATTCTTCATATTTCATCTATACGTTCTTCCTTTAACTATCATTCCTTTAAGTTTTGTTTATTAATTTCCCCTCCCATCTTCTCGTACTTCTTTTTTCTTCTCTTGTCATTCTTATTGTTCGTCCCCTATAGTTCACGTCCTCAAAGCTCATAATACTACCACTTTAAGACTAAAAAATGTTTATCTCATACAAATTAGGTGAAAGTCAAAGATTATTTACATTAAATTCATCCCACTTTACTACTCATATTTAGAGCCAAAATTCAAAAACTAGACCCTAATAATTAATCTACATGGCTTGTTCCCATGTGATTTATACAATTCACTCTAATCTAAAAATACTTAGCATGGTATTGTTCAAAATATTATTTGTCTTCTTTGAATTATTGCGACACAAATCACCTTTCATTTATTTCGAGATTATGCATTTGTTAAACAGATTAAGACTCTTTTCTATCCATCTAATAACCATTATTTTTGGTCTGGTGAAAATTCTCAGCAGTGTATAAAGTTTAATAGTTGATAGGATATTATGAGTCTTGATAGTTCAATGACCATCTATTTTGTTCTCATTAGTTTTGTCTGATAAATTCATCTCAGATAAACTACCTAAACCTTCCCTTAGTGTATGGCTTGATGAATAAAGTTGCTTCATGTGCAAGAGATCATATTGGACAATGATCTTACTGATTTCCCAGAAAAATTAGAACACCAGTGTCCTTCCTGCTGAGTTTTGGATAATTCTTATAACATTGCAGGTTGAATGGGACAAAGAGTTTAGACATCTGGTTATTGAGCAAAACTCTAAAGTCACGTTACATTGGTTCTTTCTACCATAAGTTCTAATAATAACTTGTTATTCTGTTTATTATTTTGATGATGTGTAATATATATGTGTAGGCATCATCCGAAATACAAGAGCTGTAATGGAATGCATGCATCGCTTTTGCAAGGAATGCATTGAGAAATCCTTTCGTCTTGGGTTTATCCTCAAACTACCACCCTTTTGTTTACATATAAATTGGGATGATTGTGCTTTATTTCCCAAATTTTTTTCCCATTTATAATTTTCAATACTGTGGAATGGTTTTATTGCAGTAACAATGAATGCCCTGCTTGCCGTACGCATTGTTCAAGTCGTCGATCTCTTAGGGTTGACACAAACTTCGATACCTTGATTAGTCTCCTTTTTCCAAATATTGATGAATACGAGGAGATGGTAATATCCATATGTGTTGCATATTGGTTTGGTTTTTCATTTTTAAAAAATGAAAAATAAAATTCATTGTAATTTTCTTTTGTAGGAAATGGCTTTTTCGGAGGACGCAAAAAATAATATTAAGGTGAGATTGAAATCTTAATATTTCCTCAAATTTGTTTCTCATAAATTAATTATCTGAAAGTGCTCTAGTTCATGCAGGGATAACCAAACTAGACTTTGTTTTGGTTGTATCGGTCTATACTAATCATAGTTTTATAATTTCTTACATATTTTAACCAATATCAGAGAGTAAGTTAGGAAGAACCTTAGAAAAATTTTATTTGACATTTATGAACCACATTCCCACGTATTCATTAAAACCCTTAGAAAATCTTTCGTTGCGCTACCAACATGATAAGAAAAAGTAATTAATTATTACTTCAATGTTTGCCAATTTTAAATCTTATTAAAGACTAGTTGCATTATGTTTGAATAAGTAGTTGCATAACTTAAAACGAACTACACCATTGTCAATCCATAAAAAGTAGTGTAATTCGAGTTCTTCTCCTTAAAGCTTTGATATGTTGTGTGGACAACATTATCAATATATACTATCAACCACATATTATCATTGTCCATAACACCTCTTACTCTTGTGTTTGTAATTCTAACAATTCGAGGTTGTTTGTGTCATTTGGAAGACAATGCAAGAAGCGTATGGCAAGACTCTTGAACGTCAAAGTGATGCTCTTGGAAAGAAACCTGCTGCTGCAACAACTAGGTCAAAAGGTAGAAACTTAAGGAGTCAGATTGTAAGAAGAAGCCAAAGAAATGCTGCATTTGGCGAGTCTAGTTCTATCAGGGAAAGTGCATTGCCTACTATTGCTGAAGAGAAAGAAATACTCAGTGATATTCAAGAGTTAGAGATAGAGACAGAAAGTGATGATGATACAAGTCCTCAAAATGTGACTAATGCAGCAGCCATAGCTGCAGATGGAAAAGGTAAAGGTATCATTAGCTCATCTGATAGATTTGTATGGGGGCGATGTGCCCAGAGGAGTCAAACCAGTAGCAGTGCAAGGCATGCTGCCACTGTAAGGAGCAATCGCTTGGCCAGATTCATCGATCATCTGAAGAACTCCAATCAAAATGATGATGAGGTACTTTGTTTCTTCAAACCTATATGTAAATATTTAATTATGTATGTGGATGTAATTATCCTCCTATTGAACCGTAGGTCAAAGCATATTATCTTCTCCTTAATCATTATTTGTCTAGCCCTGATTGCACCAAAATGTCTTCTACTTTAATACTATTATTCTCTTCTGATTATCATTTTTCACGTGAGTATTATTCTACAAGAATTGATGTTCATATAACCAATACAAGAATTGATGTTCATATAACCAATGCTTTTTTAACCTAATTTCAGTTGGACATATTCATCAAACTGATCTCTTTTGAGGAGGAAAGAGTTCCGAATTTGCCAAGGCCATACCTCAAATGCAGACCTACATTGTCAATCAATGAACTGCGCCTGGTTGTTCTCTTCCCGTTTAATAAAACCTTTCATTTATTGTAAATCTCTTCTTGGTGCTAATATTGCTGTACCATCTGCAGTATGTTGCCCATGAAACCTTGCTACAAACTGAAGAGATTGAGTTATACATCGTGACTGGGGTTGAGCCTGACTTCGTGAGTGGTGATGGAAAACTAGATCCAGGGAAACACAAGACTCAGTTTCTAGAGAAAGAGGATGAAACTTTGGGTGGAGTCATAACAAATAATCTCAGCTATGGCCATCTGGTAATCGCTTTACTCTTTCAAAGTTGCCCATGTTATACTATAAACGTAGAATTAAAACAAACAAACCATTTGTTTGCTTTAGGAATATTAATATCGTTTCCACTGTTCATATCATTGTTTTTCAGGTCATTGCTTATAAGAGGAAGCAGTGGAACTTAAATGAAGCGTTCCCTTGCTCTGCTTCTGAATGATGAGTTTGTGTTTTCTCTTTTGATGCGTGTGATTCGCATAGACTTTTAACAATGCTGAATTCATGATTAAACCATGAAAACTTTCAATTATGCTATTTACCTATCCCTTTCTCCAACCACAAGCACTTGACATTACAGTGCTTTTCGGTTATTGTAATAAACTGTGTGCATCAATCATGTCATCCTGAACATGAAACCATCATAACATTATATATATTTTGTTGTTAGACTGGTAATGTGTGGTATTCATTGCATATTCAACTATTTTATTTTTATTTTTTTACTTTCTGGGCTAGTAAATTTATACTACGTATGTATATATATATATTCAGGGTTTATTTGGAAAAGATCTCATAAACTTCTTTTAGAAAAAAAAATTAGTAAAATTATCTTATATAATTTTTTGAATTATTATTTTTAATTGTGTAACTAATTGCACTATTTTTTTTTCTTTCATAAGAATTTATGGAGAAAATATATTTTTCTTTTCAATCAAGAAAACCTGTTTCCTATATTCCTATAATCAAAGGCTGAGTAATGGTTATGATTCTTTTTCATGTAAAAGATGTATTTTTTATGGTAGTAAAGTTTACATCTGATTATGAACCCACAATAGGTTCAATTTTTACTTTTGTGAAAATCACGTAGAAAAATTTTCGCGTTAAAAAAATTACATTTATTTATCTCTTAAATATATGCTCAATGATTTTATGCGCAGTGTTTGTTGAACCTTTTTCAAATATGACGAATTTGCGGTCCTATTCTTTTATTCTTAGGTATTTAATTAATTTGTTAATATTTATTTATTATTAATTTGTACATAAAGCCATGGCAAGATAACACGCCTTATTAGATTATTCCCCTAAAAAATAAATTCAGGATATTTTTTCATATATATTTATCATCAACATTTCCATAGAAAAACATATTTTTATATAATTCATTTTTGTCTTTTCATTTTCTTTTAAAATCAAATTTTATTTTATTTTATTTCAGTTTAGTTTTAAGTTATAATTTAGCTTTTAAATATTTAATTAATGTCATTTGTTATAAATAAAGATCATGAGAAATTCATCCTCTTATTGTAAAATATATTATTTCGCATGATAAGTTATTTAAATTATTTTAATATAAAATAAGATGGTCTCATCTCACATTACTATATATTACACCTTATCTTTATCTATTTATAGATTAGATTCTTACACTATTGATACACTTTATTCTACTTTAGATTTAATCTTATCATATTTTAACTATCACATTTTATTCTTGTGTATTATTTATTCATTACATCTTTATTTGATTGAACTTTTTTACATTCATAAGGGAAATATTTCATCGCATCATTATTTCTTCTATCAATTTTTCATTATAATCATATATTACTATTTAATTTATTCAATTTCTTAATTAATTAATATGTTTTTTAAAAATATTATATTATTCAAATGCTAAATAGCATAATTTATTTAAAAAATATTCTAAAGTATTTCATTAAAAATATTTAAAATTACACATTTTAACAAAAAAAATTATTTTTAAAAATTTATAACCCAACTAATCTAATTCCATGAAGATCATGTACTCATTAGATTAATTAGATTTTAAAAAATAAAAATAAAGAAAATAATTTAAAAAAAAAAAAACAATCCAACCTAAGTTTTTTTTATTAGATTAGATAATAATACACCTTAAATGAAACAGAGGCCAACTTGGCAACCACATTTGTAATCACCTTGAAGCATTGCTGAATATTGAGGCACTTGGCTCCATCATGAAAGTGACTTAAAACCCTAACAAGCCTCTCCTCTCATACAAGAGCGTATGTTGCTCTTAGATACTCTATGATTTCTGCACTTTCAAACATTTCTATCCCAGTGTTTGGATCTTCCAGAAAGGGTGCCTGTGAACACTCGTTAGCATAAACCCATTAGCATCACTCACACACCAAATACCATTGCAACACTCAACTTGAAAAAGTACCTGGAAATATCCAGTTTTCTGATATAGTATATGTCTCTTTGGGCTACCCCTAGCACAACTGAAATGAGACATTAAAGTAAGAAATATGAAAACACAAAGGCATGCATGCTATACATACATAATCAAACTATATATATGGTGTAAATATGAAAATTGGACGTAAAGCAGTATTACCAAACCAAGCAGGGATATATAAAAGGAGGGAAAACTAATTTACCAAAAAAACCAACTAAGAAAGAATGTCTTCAAATGTGTGCTGCATCACCCTTCACTTTTTGCATGATACTTTTGTATTAGAATCACAAACCATAAATCAAAGATTTACAAATTACAATTCACTTTATGACAATGCAGGAAAGAATATTTTTTCCAAAATAATGCAGAGGATGAACTTTGTTTGTGCAAATGGGGGGTAAGGTTGCATACATTAGGCCTCCTTCTGATCCCCAGCGTATATAAAATACAAGTACTTCTATTTATTAATTAATGTTTGATAAATACAACTATTAGAGCTAGCAACTATATAGTCACTAAAATGTGTTGAGTCCCTCAAGATTTAGTGACAATTAGTTTTAGTCCCTTACATTTTAAGAAATTGGCGGTTTTGTACTTGTATTTCTGAAATACGGTCAATTTTGTCAATGATCAAGTCAAAATGTAGTACAGGGTCAGGGCAAAATCTATCACAGTTCAGAAATACAAAAGACCAAACATACTGTTTTTAAAATAAAGGGCAATTTTGTTAAATCTTGAAGGACCTAAAACACATTTTACCCCACTAAAATTGTAACAATTCTTCATACAAGGTCCAAAGAATACGATTCAAGAATGCTCCATAAGAAGATAAATGTAGCTGCAAAACTGTAAATGATATGAACTTAAAGTTTTCGATGATAACCCCCCAAAAAAATCTTATTGGGGATCAAATTTAACAGTTGGTTGCTCATAAACATGGTTTTACCTGACAAGCAAGTGTGGCAGCTCCAATTCCACTAGTACTTCACGTACAAGTTTGCAGAAAGGAGACCCCTGAAAGAAAAAAAGTATTTCAAATTTAATATTCAGTAGCAGTAGATAATGGCTACATTATCATACATCTGATCTATAATTTACGGATAGAAGTCCTGAATTTGTCAAGTATTATTGGTATGTATGGTTTGCATGATGTAGACCAACCTCATATGCCCATAATTTAAGTGGCTTTGGAGGGAACTTTGCTGGAGTATAAGTTGTCCCCTGAAAACAAAATCGAAGAGTAATAAATTATAATATGCTTTGAACAGATAAAGTGAAATGGCAATGACAACTAAAACGAAATTCAGCCATATTCACAACATTCAAGCATATGCTAAAAAATTCTTCCATTAATTTTGGAGAAAGGATTAATTTCAATAAACTTTAGTTAACATTTAACACGCCTACTTGAAGAAAAAGAAACATGTTAGACAATACCTTTCCAATACGACTAAGATTACCAAGACCAGCTGTTAGTGTCTGCAGAAAAAAGATAGCCATGGATATTAACATCAATGATGCAATTCAACTGCTGGTGAAAAACCATTGATGATGGTGTCAGGTTCTAACCGTTAAAAATCCAAGTGATAAAGATAAAGGAACGTTTCCATCACCTACATCACAGACAATACAATAAAAAATTGGATATTTTCAATTGAGTACAGCACGCATAATCAGTATTCACTAAACCATACATGAAAAGTTAATGCTCCTAAAAATGAAATGGAAGTACTCGCATAATGTTAGTGCTTAAGCATATATAGGCAACATGCAAAGATGGTTTCTGAAGCAAGTAATATAAGTAGAGTTTAATAATAATGCATTCAATTTAATTTTTTTTACAGTGACAGTAAATGAGAGATCACATTGATATGACTATTATTGTATAAAATTTCCTTCTTTCATGCTTGTAAATGAAATACACATTTTGAAATTGTAATTGTTTCTCTCCAATATACGTTGTTATATTTTATAGATTAAGAAAAAACACTACACAGCATAAGCACATTTCAGAAAAGGGTATATTTTGAGACAAACCATAATTGTCAACCAAATACCGAATTATGTCATCTGATTCGTACATTGAAACACCTGTGTTTGGGTCAATCTGAAACCAATACAAAAGTAAAAGAAAAATGTTATTTCTCAGTTCTCACTCAAAGAAACCATGTATCGTCATGACGCAAGATAAGGAAAGTGATGTTAGATACATACATTACTAGAAACAAAAATGTATTTTAACTCTTAAGAAGAACATATTCAATGCAGTTTAGATCATTGTTTGCGCTGTTTGATTTAAGTATATACACATCACTGAATGATATTTCTATTAGAAGAATAGAAAAAGCAGTTTATCCATACAAAAATGTCCACAGTGTAGATCCCCTGAACTCTATCAGATGTAACCATTTGACTTCAGCTTTCTTCATTTCCATGAGTGACTGATACCTAAACCTGTTTCTAGGTTATATTTCTCTTTAAAACTTAAAGCTTCTGAGCCAATTTTCAAGAGCGTTGATGATGTAAAATGTCACAAAAACTAACGAAGATCTCTACAGGATAGATTTTGCATTAATTTCATCCAAGCAGTCTAGATTAGTGCACTATTTTGTTGTTGTTTGATTCAAGTTTAAAGGAATTGGTCTTACCATGTAAGGGAACTGCAGTTTGCCACCCATCTGAAGAACCTTTGGACGGAAATTTGGACCATTTCTTGGACAGGGATAAAAAACAACATCAAGGTCCAAAATAGCAACAATTTCTCTAACCTGCATGGAGTCATATATTAGCCCACAACAAAAAAGAAGTCTTGCTAATATAATACCAGAAGAATACCACTACTAGACTACCAACTAGAAAGATTTTGAAGGTTCAAACTTTGTTATCATGCCTAATTTTCTTCCCAATTGATAAAAGTATAGTAATAAATTCTAATAGAGGAGAGCAGGATTAGAGTTTATCCTTTGGTCACTAAACCACAGTGCTAATCTCCATACTCAAATTCAAGAATCAAAGGATAAGCACAATGATCGTTCAAGACTTCAATAATAGCAAGAGGTTATGAACAAATCGTGGTAACTGACACTTCACACAATAACTGGAAAAAAAATTATTGAAAGAGAAAAGAAATTCTCATGAAAAGACTTGAAAGAGAAGCTTATTTGAATCCTAAACATATTCATTCATACCTTTCGGCAAAATGGACAGCTGCACACGACCCAAGATGGCACATAATGAAAGAACAAAACAGCACTTATTAGTGAATTCTGTAGTGCAGCAAGTAAAAAGCCAAAATTCTAATATAAAGGAACAAAGGCAAAACAAAAAGCCGGTTATCTAACTTCGCTTTGGAAAAAGAAAGAAGCAAAAGAAGGATTTAGTCGATGCATGAATGCAAAGAGAGTAAATCCGGCCTTTTGAATTGCTGTCAGAAAATAAACTACCTCTCAAATTCATATATCTCAATGGGCTTCTCGGGGCGAGGACCTAATTTTGCTGTTTCTTTGATCGTAATTCCTGAAATCATACTACTAATGTTAACATATAAGGAACAACACTAGGAAATGAGGGGGGAGGGATTAACTGTTGTACACAAAGATGCTGCTATGAAATAGAAATGTGACACAGTAAAAGTGCAAAGATACTACCAATAACAAAAACCTTTTCCCACCAGGTGACGTCAACTAAATGCATAACAGAATGCCATTGAACTCGGTTAAAAATAAATTTTGAGCATATCATTCACCTTTCATAACTTTTTCCTTTGTACTAAGTCTCATTTTACCCCTTTTCATAGGTTTAAAAACCATGTGATATACTCTCTTCACCAGGTTAAAATGTCCTCTACTTTTCAAAGTGCAGAGATACTATCACTCAAAACATGCAAGATCCTGGGAGTAATTTTATTTTATTTGTGAACTTTAGAAGCACGGCCTCTTAAGTGATATGTAATATTTAAATATCAAATAATGTTTCTTTACTCGTAAGACAGCTACAGAGATCATCTTTTCGCACACAGACATGCATATGTACCACTGTTTTTTCTCTTTCTACGTCTCAGTTGCAAGTCAACCAGAAAATTAATGACTATGGTAAGCAAAATAATGAGCTCTATCTAAACAAGAGAATGAAGGTGCTACCATTCAGTTCCAAAGCATATTCGTCTGGAGGAATTTCATCCTTAGAAACAACTGAAAAAGAATACCTGTCAATGGCACAAAAAAGCATAAAAAGTTTAAAATTTCAGCCAGTATCTTGATATATTTTCACATATAACACGCTCCTCGTAAATTATGTTGGATAGGTTTTCAGATAGTACTTTGTGTCGTAAATATACACCGAGTCCAATCATATAAATCATCTATGCATTAAGTAGGATCATTTTATAATCAAAAGGAAGGAAAACTCAAAAATCATAACAAGATTTCTTAACTATGATCTTCTACTTCTTTCAACAAAAAGAAACCTTATTCCATGGCCCTGCACATGCAAAATAAATTAAAAAAAATGTTTAAATACTTGTTTGGTCCCTATATCTATACAAATTTTATTTTTAAGTCCCTACACTTGAAACTATTCGTTTCACTCCCTACGTGTTTAAAACGTATAAACTTTTTAATCTGTTTTAGTCTTTGATGTAAAAAATTATAGAGACTAAACCAGATTAAAAGGCTCATGTCTAAGGACCAAATCAAGTTAAAAGTGTATGAATAGGGACTAAAACTTAGAGATTACACGGATTTAAGAATCAAATGAGTAAGTAAAGGTTCAAAAATTGTTCCTTTGTTATACAATACTTTTAGAAGTTAGTCTCCTTTCAAATGACTGGTCCAGCTTAAGGTTCAGCTACAAGTTTAAGTTCCATACTTCAATTATAGAATGTATATTATGACTTTATGCAGAACCAATCTCATGACATAGCATATTAAACATACAATCTTTCAAGGGAAGCCAACTCCAGCAAGTCTTTCACAGTATCATGATCCTTCTTTCACCCAAAAAAATTAATGATCCTTCTATCAGAATAGCCATAACATAACACCACCAGGTCAGATCCCTCTTAACAGTTCTCAAATCTTTTTTATTGAAGCAGCAGTTATTGCCTATGCAGCCATTTAACTGATTTTATTGAAACAGCCAGTTAAAACCATCACAGAAGCACACAACAAAGTCAAGCCACCTATATAGCTACTTCAACTCAATAACTATCAAAATCTCTGACCAAGCAATTTTATGCACAAACCAGATACGGACTAGGAACGCAAACCCGTACGCGTGTGTCAGAAAATATTCTATAAGAAAAAAAAAATCAACCTTGAATTTCCAGTCACAACCCAAATGACTAAGGACTTATTAGGATCACTTCTTCCACTTTTTTCCCTTAAAAACTGTTTGGCAAAATAAGTGTTTGAAAAACAAAAAACTGAATCAGCTCGGGATGTGTTTAGACAAATCTTTCGAAAGAAGAAATTGGCTCATGGGACAAACACTTTCAAATGATCTGAGGGAGTAAGCAAACAAATTTTAGGAAAAACAAAAAAAACAGCGCGCTAACAAGCCTTAGAATTAAGGTACGCTTGTGGCAAAACTGAAAAAGAAAAGTGCAAAAGAGAGAGCAATAAGAAGAAAAGGAGCACTATGGTTTACCCAGAAACGAAAACTCCAGTGGCAAAGCGAAAGAGCAAAGGAAGCAGTGCTCCAAACACTTCACTAGTCTTGTCAGGTCTGACGGTAAAGCGTTTAGGCTCAGGGGCCTTGAAGTTGGGGGGTGGAGCAATTGTCACCGACGAGGATGAAGCTGACGTAGAATCAGATATTGGTTCTTCTTGTTGGGAACTCACAGAAGTGGAAGAAGAGGTTTCAGACATTGCTCTAATGCAAAAGCTTCTTCTGGGCAGTCTCCTTTTGGGCAAAGAAAGATACCCAGAAACTGGGAATTGGGAGAGACTCAAAGCTGCAGCCATAGCCATGAGTTTGGAAAAGGGACAGTACACACAGGTTCCTCCAAAAGAAAAACGTGTTGAGGTTTTTGTATGTTTGTTCGTTGGGTAAATACGGTGGCTTTCATGGCATAGTGATTGGCCAATGGTTGATCACGTAGAGAGAGAGGGTACTTCACAAACGGTACGAACCTCATTTGGCAGATTCACAAACACAATACACAAAATATCAATCGTGTCGTGGATGGTCCTTAGTTACATCCTTCTTTTTCTTCAAAAAAGAATCTTTTATTGAAATTGATTTTTTTTTTACATTAAGAACTTTTTTAAGGTAATAAAATATTTCATAAAAATAATTTTTTTATTTTTAGATAAACAAATATATAGAATATAAATTGTATTTTTAATGTGAATTTTTGCTAAGTTTCTTTCTTTGAAATAAGTTAAATGTAAATTGATTAATAATAATATAATATTAGGATCATAAATTTCTACATTTTCTAATATTGTTTTTATTAAAGATGCTTTAAGATTTTTTTGGTCCACCTTGAAATATATGACCAACGTTATTGCACTTTCCCTCTCTCTTTTTTCTCTATAATAAATTATTTTTTAATAATAATAAAATTAATTCAAAGGATTGTGATAGTTCTACCCAGAAAAATTGTGACGGTAGAACGTGAAATTAATTATTAATTTTGGATTCCATCTACTTGGGCAGGTTTTTAATTGGGCCAAATTAGGATAGGATCGGTTGCTTCTCCACAATTTGGATCAAAATTTGGTCATTTTGTTGAGCTTCATCAAAAGTTAGGAGTTGTTATTTTATGACGTGAATATACAATACAAAAATGGTTAAGGAAGAATAATAGAGAATATGTACACGAAATAATAATTTTTATTGGAAATAATTTTTTTCATAAAAATAATCTCTTATATTTATACATGTAATAGAATTACGATATATTATGTTATAAAGCAAATAACTAAAAAAAATTGTTGTCATTTTTTTTAATGTCCTCTATTTTATTATTTATTTAATTCATAACATCATATTAATTTTTTGGGATTTGCATTATAGACTATTAGATTTAAATATGGATAGATTCTTTTATATGGTAAAGATTTTTATTAAGGATAAATAAGTCTTAAATCATCTTAAGATAAATAAGAATATTGTACATTCCTATTACAATATCTTATCTTAAAATATGCATGAATATAAAAGATGCTTTTACTATCAATAAAGGGTTTAATTAAGGGGTTTTACTTAAACATTCAATATCTAAAAGCATATCTTAAATTAATACATATGTGCAATATGAAGTAAGAAGAACAAACAAAGAATTCGAAAAATTTATTGAAACAATGTCACCTACTTCTTACCACAAACACTAAAGTTGAAGAAATAAAGTTGAAAACGATCTGTGCAACAATTGATACGAAACTCAAACAATAAAAAAAAAAGTTTTAAATATTTAATGTTTATCAATTTTTATCATGGAAAAGATTTTCAAACTTTCTGAATTCCCCCCTAAACGAAGAAGAAATAAAAAAAATGTATTACAAGATCAAAAAGAGTTGTTATAATGGCTACTGTTATCTTTAACGTACCAATAAAGAAAAGAAGAATAAATAATGAAAATGTTGAACCAAAAATGCTCTTGCATTCAGGAAGAAAAAAAAAACTCTATTCATTTGTTCTTCCTATATAAAGTTTAGCTCTACACTTCTTTTATTATATCACGGACTCAAATTTGATCCCTTTGTTTAGCACGCACTGGTCTGTTGCTGCCAAAGTCTTCACCACTCCACGAAGCTCCTTCAGAACTGCATCCACCACCGTGATTTTGGTTGCCAACATGGTTCTTTTCTTTGATGTTTTTTTTTTCAGTAATTAAGAAAATAATTAAAGCACGTGCACCCTTATGTAACTTGTTTATTAAACTAATTTTGATTGAAAAAACGTGGTAAAAGGTGCGGTGGTGGGCTGGGAAAGAGGATTGGCAGATGACGGATGTAAGATTAGTGAGGGAGCAAAATTATTGGAAAAATGAGATGAAAAAGCAGAAATAAAAATAAAGAAAAATTCTGCAGTAAAAGGTTAACTAGTGATTCCCAGCAAAATTAGACCAGAGTTAACCGAAAACAACTATCGCTTAGTTCGTAACGTATGACAGCTTGATCAAATTTTAAATATATTGGGTGTGAAAAATTACGATCCTGAATGAAACAAGGAACCACTAGCACAATAACATCAATCTTTGTTAAGTTTACACTAGCGTGCCAACAAAACTTATCACTTAAATGGAAAGAAATGTCATGCATCAGGCACCTTGAAGGTTCAAGGACCAAACAGTACCATGTTGGGGATAGTTGAATGTTCAACGCAACCAAAATCTGGAATAACCTTACAGGATATTTCACATTCTCTGTGTCATCAGTGAACTTCCTATCAGCTAAGTAATAGAAAAATCCAAGTGGTTCCCTGAGTCGTGCAGTACATCTTGTATATGGGTTGAACCGGTAAAAGTTGAATATTCAAGCGCTTAGACTACTTCATTACTCAGAACACAGGGATTAGTTTAGTTTTAACCCCAACATCCTAACTCAATTGCAGCCTGTTACCAAGCTGGCTGCTATGTGCACCAGAAATCTCTTGTATTAGAGACACAATGTGCTTCAGGTCATTACCTGAATCAGAGAGTAAAGAATTCGAATATAGCCAGCCTTTTTACTGCTGCTGTTCATAAATCTGCATATAAGCTTCTGAAAGCGCAACCAAATGAGGAAGTGTTTCAGAGACGTGCAAATCCTGCATCTCATACCTAAAAAAATAATGTATTAGTCCTCGTCTTTGTCGGACATCCATACATCCATTCAAATTTATGGATATTGTTTATATTATCGAGAAATAGAACTTACCATAGTTCTTCTGATTTGCGTTGCACAAATACCCTATAGAAACCCTCACCAGGTTTGCCATCATGAACAACATTAGCTATTAAATCATATTTAGATCGCAGTTTCTCATTTTCATTTGGTGTTGGCAAGGGAATGTAGTCCTTCAACTCGAGGTTCTTCACAGGAAAGTTGACTGACGCAAATATAGGGTGAAGTTAGAAGTATGATGGTGTTAACTTGAACAAATTACGGCACATAACATAAATTTTTACCTAATGTGGGATTCTTTTCCACAAAAAAATTATTCTTAGTAAACCGACGCATGTGAAGAATCATATACTTAGGCAATCTGGTAACACGATACTGCATCCTAGCTATGTGCGGTCGGACCACCTCTGTGATAGTTTCACCATCAAACTTCTTCAGTATGTTAAAGAGTGGGACCTAGAAATCAAGCCTTATTAGCAAGCAAGTAGGAAAAGACAGACAAAACTTTTAAAAAGCTATACTGACATCAGGCCACGAAACATGAAGATCAAAACTCATGTTCACTAGTGCAAATGAGAAATTGCTAATTGAACTAATTATCCTTGCTTTAAAGGGAATTCTACCACTTTTCCTTTTTAGCTTTGACATCATGGCATTCAAGTAAAACATAACCTAGACTATACTACAATGTAAGGTGGTATGATAATAGGTGTGCACTTTAAATTCATAAATCTTGACTGAGTGCTAAAGCATTACCATGTTGTCAATCATCCTGGCTAAGTTCGCACCAAAAACAACACTAGCCAAGTAAATCTCACAATGTACTTGCTTTGTTCTTAAATAATGGCTTAAAAATGACAATAGGTTACCAGTGTTGGTTAAAACATCCTTCAATACATTTATATCCACAACTTTCTTATTTTTACAAGTCTCTCGGATATAACAGTTACAGACAAAATAACAAGATATATACTTCAAACTAGGATCACCTCAATGTAAATTATATCTTTATCAAATATAACATCTCATGCAACAAGGACAGTAGCATTGGTGGAGTAGTACCTGTGGTATTATGTTTTTTTCCATCACATCCTTGAAAAGAGGAGGTGGTGGCAAGTCCAACCCTAACATTAGAAATGGCATTTTTGAAGTTTCTTTGACAAATGCATATCGCTCATTTACCCCATCCGAAAGTTTCTCAGCATTGTTCTGGTCTTCAGTGTTTTCTTTCTTATCAATGGTCCCTTTGTTAGGAATCTCTTTCACAACCTCAAGTTCACCCTGAAAGGAGTAAAAACAACACAACTTAACTGGATTGCTGCGGCCAGCAAAAACAGAACAACCAAAAGAAAAGAAAATTACAGTGGATAAAAAAAAACCTGAAAACACTCATAGATTATGCTGGTATTCTTTTTTGATGTCTTAAGATCTGCATGTAACGTATTAAGAAGCCATGACATGAACTCCACTGGGTCAGATTGTGCACCTATCCTAAACCTTTTCTTACTGGCTTTCATCACTGCTTGTAGAAACTCGTGTGGGCTGACCTGTTGACACGCATATTGATACACAAGTCAACACCAAATTATGTATAATAATATAGTATACAATGAATTTATCAGAAACAAACCTGTCCCTTAAAGTTCCGTGCATGCCAGATTTTCCTAGTGAGCTCACCAAATCGATGAACAAGTGGAGATTTGCAGTGTTGATAATTTTCAGGGATAAGGAAAAAATTCCTCAAGGGGGTAACTCTCATTAAGGATTGAATTGTTACATTTACAAAATCAGTCTCCTTGATATTATTAAGTCCCACCTGAAAAGTAATAGTATAATGGATAAATGTAGGCCAAAACACACCAAACAAACTTTCTAAACTATTGAAAAAATCACTTTTATATGCATGAAAAATATACCATTCCTGGAAGGTAACTAGAACCATCAAGTGCCCTAGACCACTGCTTATTTTTGTCAAGTTGTTCAACTTCTTTTGCAGTGAATCTGCATATAGAGAACCATATGAATGCCCTTAGTTCATACATTTTAATAGACAATGAAGATCATTTAAAGAATTCAAGGCAATGAAAACTTAAGATAGCATGGAGTCATAAATGATAATGATTACAATGACAACTTAATTAATACTGAATAAATATTTCAATGTGATTATTAATTAGAGAAAACTTGAAGTTTGATCTTTTATGGTGACAGCAAGAGGCTGATAAACATCAAACAATCATATTCCAAACAGTTCGGCAGATCCACAGGCAGAAAATAGAAGATAAATTATGGCAACAGGTAAATCATGAAGAGGCTAAGTAGGTAACTGAATTAATTGAGAAATAAATCATGACAAAAAATGCAAAGCCCAAACCCATGGCTTCCAAAAACAAAAGTCCTTATTTAATTAGTTTATTATGAGGAGAAAGATACTAACATTAGTGAGATAAAAAAACAATTGCAAAGCAATTATTTCCTCGAGCCATCATGCAAAACACCAATTTTGATTTGGGGTATGTTATAATTAGAGAAATAAGAATTATTTCTTTAATATTACAAATATCAGGATCATATCTTTATCTTATCTATATAATCACAAACATGAAGATTATATTTGTATTATTCTAAGATTATATCTCTAATACTAGAGATATCAAATCTTCTCTATTTATTGCATTGATTTCTATTTCTTAATATAAAGGAATCACCTATGCTCAATATTTCTCTTCTTTATAGTTGAACAGGGTATATAGATGGGATTCCAAGGTTGGCCAGAGCAGCGAAGGAAAACCCCTAACTTCTTGCCAGTCAGATGCATTGTCCAGGGATTGTCTAGTTTAGGGCTAACCATTGGCCTGGCCATAGAGTGGATGGGGATACATTTAAAACCAGTGACGATCCAATCTCATATTTATTCACAAATTCTTCAAGAACAAGTCTCAAATCTTAGAACCTTAAAAACTTTGTGTAAGCAGATGAACAGTTGAACCACAGTCCTCAATATTAATACTTGATTTGGTCCATAGCATGAATTTGGAGCTACCAGAGTGGATAAAAACTACTCTTTTCTAAGGGAATATAAATGGTAAATAAATACTCTAAATAGCTAACAACAGGTGACATAACATTATACAAAAGATAATAATATCAACATAGTCACCAGCCAATAGCTGATGACCATAGAAACAGAAAGATGTTACTAAAATGTTGTCATAGCAAGCACAGCCAAATAAGAAAATATACTGACCTTGGATTTAAGACATGCCGAATGTCATCTAATGAAGGATCATTAATCTCATAACCATCAGGAAGACAGTAGACTTTTTCAGTGCGAAGATTGATATAAACATGGTGTCCTGCTTCCAGACTATGTGTATATGCATGAGACTTCTTTCCTCTCCCTTGGTAATACTTCCCGCAAACCAAACATGCATACACATTTAAATTCGATAGGGAGACAGAACAAAATTTTTCAAAGTCAAAATCCAAAACCTGCATGCATAAATGTCATAAAATTCATATACGCTTGAAAACCAGTAACATTACTGTCAACAATGGACAACATAAGTCAAATACCTGTCTATTAACAGTATCGAGATAAGGACAGTCCTTCCGAACCTCAACCTGGCGATTGTTTCTTCCACTAAATAAGTGGTCATGTGAATCATCTTCTTCATCACTATCATCAGCCTCTCCATATCTATGCCCATCATTCCTCCTCTCATTAACAGAACCCTTTTCCCTTCGAACATAGTCTTCCTCCTCATCAATGTCAGCATAATTATTGGCCAACCCAGAAAGTGGATTCACAATGGAGACTGGAGGAGGAGAGGGGGAAGAATCCTCATCCAGCTTTTGCCTTTTCGATTCATTATCACGCCCTTCATTCTCTACTCTATCACCAACTTCCCTTTCCCTTTTTGACGACATGTTCTCTCCTAAAGCAGTTTGAAATCAATTGCAGAGAATAACTTTAAGTTAAAGGGTAAATTTAGGGCATTAAACTTCAACTCAAATCACCTACAAAATATAAACACTAATAGAAAGAAAAGAAAGGAAGGAAGTAAAAAGTCAGACAGATGGACAGCAATGACATGATAGTGCAAACTCTAAAAAAAAATACCTGAATGTATACCTCCTGTTGTCTAGATTAGTTGCTAACTCTGCATTACAGAATGCATAAAGATTGAAACTAGGACGTGGAGTAAAATGAAGTCATAACTCACAGCCTAAGGTGGCAATTTTAATATCTGAAATTCAATAAATGTGTTAGTCCTTCTCTGTGGATAAATTTCATGTTGTGATTTTATTGCTCTGTTGTCGCTCACTGTATGTCTCTCTACATTTGGGGGGCTGCTTATGGTTATGATGCCATCAGCATAGACTAAAGCATAGGTGGAATAAGTCTACTTTTCAACTCATGTACTAAAATTCATAAGTGTGTTTCATTTGCTGCAACATGAGTACATGCCAATTTTCTTGGTCATTGAAACAGATTTTTTTTTTTTTTTTGTATTTGTAGCTATATAAGGTTCTACCCAGAGCATGTTTTTTACATAAACACAGCAAAAGAGCAATTCTTAAAGGAAAAGCTAATTGGAGTCATCATGCAAAGAAGGTCAAATTTCAAAGGGAAAGTATTCATGTTCTTATAAGCATTTCCCTTTTTAATTTATTTATTCATTTTGTTATGTTATTTATATTGGTTGTGTTTAAAAAGACCGTAAATGCTAAAGTTTGAGCCAAGTCATTTGGGTTTTCTTTAACTCTAGCAACTTTCCAAGCTCTTAGGAATCAAGTTTGGTTCTTCCAACAATGTATGGAGTGTTAAAAAAATTTATTACTTTCTGAAATAATAATTTATTACCACTTCCAAAAAATATCTCTGGGGTGTCATTGGGGTAAATAATAATGGCCACACAAGTTACAACCAAATTTGGGGTGTCAAGTATGTCATAAAAGAGTTTGGCAACAGTGAAGACCAAGGTTGATCCTCAAAACTTCTTCAGAAACGAACAGACCAAGGTTCTGTAATCGAATACTTGAGGTAAGTACCTAACGAAGCCAATACGCATCTATCTACCAATCTATCAAGCAAGGACAGATCGGAACCCAACTACGGTAACTAGCTAATGAATACCTAATCAATGCAATCGTTTAATTTGGGATACTGTAAACCTAAACCCTCCATCTATCCAAAAACCCTAAACATATAATACAACAATCCAAAACCCCTAAAAATATAATACAACAATTCAAAAATTAGACTCCCATGTACAGATAACATAATGCAAACAGAACAGTCAAGACTGAATGTTTTTGGACCCGAAACAAAAACACTCACCGACGGGACGGACGAGGACAGAACACGCAATGTCACCAGCACAAGGCAACGGCAACGAGGACAACGCAACGGCGACGACGACAAGACAACGGCGGTCACGACAATGCTACGGCGGTGAGTGCAAGTCCCTAGGTTTCTCTATTCGGGAAGCAGCTAGTTCGAATGGTTCGAACTAAAGCAAAGTTCGGACCAGCGTTTATGAGTGCTCTCTGATAAATTTTCTCTCTTAACATGTAATGATACAACCTTGCATTTGAATCTAAATAATTTTGATTATTCATTTTATAACATTACCACAAACTTTATTTGATAATTAAATGTTGATAATATCTAATATTAGTTGGATTACAAGTATTTTAACAAATAATATATAATTTAATTTATGTTTTATTAGGATATAAATTTAAATAAATTAATATTTTATAACTTCAACTGTTGTTTTATTTATTCACATTAAATCTATTTAAAAACTATTAATATTATATTGATATTAATTTCTTATTAATATATTTAATAAAAGTTAAAAAAATAACTGATTAAATTACATAAAAATAATATGTAATCCTAATTTGTGTATGTAAAAAATAATCAAATTTCAGAAAATTATATTTTTATATTTATAAGTTTTTACTGTAATAATTTTTTAAATTCTTTTTTTTATTACAAGAAAAAGACCATGGGTTCAACTAAAAAAACAAAAATGTTGAATTTAGATCAACCTATAAGTACAAATTCTCAAAAATAGACAATTAATGACCACACAAATTGTGGTAATTTTATGTGTTCATATCTATTTTTTAATTAAATTATTTTTAATAATAATAATTTTTAAGAAATTTAATTAGATATAATTTATGTTGCATTTTTTTAATAATGTGATAATTTAGTGTTATTAAACTCTTTTTTAATAAAAATATTTAAACATAATAATTATTAGTTATTAATATTATCCCTACCCATAAATAAAATATAATTTTCAATTATAATCATTGAATAAATAAGTTAAATAAAAAAATAATATAATATAATTTCAAACTTAAAATATTCTAATTAATGATTAAATATTAGTATATTCAAATTGTGACATTTTTTAATAATACTAGCTAAATTTAATTAATAAATTAGAAATAAATTTCTTAATCAAATATTTATTCTTAAGTTCTTGATTTATCTTCTTATAATGTCATTTAAATTCTATTTTATGAGACATTTAAACTCAATTATGATATAATTTTTTTTAATTCTAATTATAATAATTTATTTAATATTTATACATAAAATTATTCAAATATTAATATTTTTATTTTATAATCATTATTATTATAACCAAAACAAGTAAGAATAATAAATTTAAAAATAATATAATTTATTTAACTTTATTTTCACTATGTATAATATAGATACGTTTTTAATAATTATTAAAATATTATTTAATTTATTAAATCTTAATATTGTAATTGAACTTCCTAATTATTATTATTATTATTTTATTATCAATTTTCCGATATATTCACATCGTTTCGGATAATTTATAAATATTTTTTAAAATATATAAAAATATCTTTTTAAAAGAATATAATAGATTAAAATTTAAAAATAAATAATATCTTAAACCTAACAAAATACTTTGATATAATAGAGGGAAAGCAACATCAATTATTTACACTAGGAATAACCCACGTATGACAAAAGAAAATAAGGTGTTACAAAATAATTATTCTCGCATAGTTAAATATAAAACCTAATATATATATTTACACTATCGATTTTATTTATAAAATATTTTAATTTATACATTTTAGGATTATTGATAAATTTTAGGATTACTTTTTAAAAACTTAATTGGCGAAATAAATTAAATAACTTACTATTGATAGTAAGTTCACAAGAAACATATATGTCAACAATAATTGTTGTGTTTAATGATTGAATAAATTATGAATTATGAATAAACAAGAACTCATTATCTTATTATAAATAATTTAAGGAATTATATTGTGTCGTCATTAAAATTGTTAAAAACAGAATAATAAATTTTAAAAAAACTAAATTTATTAATTTTTCGAATATAGAAAAATAAAGAATAAAAATTAAAATAAATAAATTAAAAAAATAAAAATGAAAAATTGCAAAGTAACAATTGCTAGAATAATGGTAGAAATATTAAAATAGGAATTGTACATACTCAATCCTATTTTCAGTTTTTGTCAACATCACCTTATTTCACATCAATATAACAATAAATAATTTTGATTTATTTTAAAAAAATAATTTTAAACAAATAATTTTATTTTTTATAAAATACATAATTATTTTATAAAATAAATTAATCATAAATTTATAGACCAATCCATTTCTAAGTCCATTTAAATGAGAGAGGATATGAATCAAATAAAAAAAAAAAGTTTTAATGTTTTAATAATCTATGTGGTGAATTTTTGAGCTGGATCTATGATGCAAAGTACATTATTGAATAAAAATTTGACATCATAGGATTATGTGAATATAGTTTTGAATGGGACATGTTTGTAGAACATCGTTTGTTGGAAGGCCCTCATTGGTCGGTGAGTTCTGCCAAACTGCTCCCCCATGTGCTTCATGCAACAAATCAGGTTTCATTCACTATCAAACTATAATAAACATTCTGTGTTTTACAAATACTTTAATGATACTATTTTTATTTAAATTTCGTTTTTCTTATAAGTATACACTTTGATCCATGTAGGCCCTTGTTTAGTTGGTAGGATGGGAAGTGAAAACATGAAAAAAATTAAAAAATTAAAATTAATGAAAATGGTTTACTATAATATTATTTTATTCAATTTTTTATTATTTATATATTACTTTATTCATTTGTTATATTAATATTTTGTATTATCTTAATTAATGTTAATACAGTTTTTTACTAATAATATTTTTTATTTATTATTCTTTATTTTATATTAATATCGTTTTAGTGTTATGTATAATTATTATGGTGTTTTTATATTATTATTATTATTATTATTATTATTATTATTATTATTATTAATTTTGTAATAATATTTAGTATTGTGAAAAACCGGTGGTTTGGTAACATATTTAGTAAAAAAAAGGGTTATATATTTTATAAAGTTTTGGCTTAATTGGAATTTAAAAAAAATAATAATATATCTATATAATGTAACTATGAATAAAAATGTTGATATCATTAATAAAAATAATAATTTTTTTTAAATATATAAAATAATTATTTTTTTAAAATATAAAAAAAATAAACCCTTGACGTACTTCTACTCTACATGCATTTTTTTTTCTTTAATTCCTCATTTATTAAGTAACACCAAACATAGGAAGAAAGATTATTTTGGAGTTTCTATTCTTTTTCATTCATTCCTTCATATTTCCAGGACCAATGAACTATGTAAGATCTAACTTGCCCTACCTTTTTTTAAAAAGGACAAACTTAGACAATTTTAAAAGTTTATTTTCCTTTAATTAAGTAGGCCAAGTTGTGGACTTCTAAAAAAACTTATTAGACTTGATAACTAGCTTGTAATTTTTTTGTAATAAAATGTTAATATTTAATTTATATATATATATATATATAATCATGAATTTATTATAATAATTAATTAAAAAAGTATTCTTCATCTTTTTTAGTAAAACTAGATCAAATTAGAAATACAATATATATATATATATATATATATATATTTGATAGACATATTAACTTATAGGCCTAAATTGACATGTTAAAGAATAGACCCACTAGCTTGTTTCAACTTAATAACTTTTTTAATTCATTTTGTTATTCACAAGAAATATTATTATAGATTTAGACAAAAGTTAGTTAAAATATATAGAAGGTTAGGTACGACACAAACTAACATGTTAGATTTGAACTATGGGATTCTAAACATATCAAATCAAACTTAGTTAAGGTTTGACCTTATTTTTTTATTTTTTTCATCCCCACTTAACCTCATTTGTTTTTTATATGTAAATTTAATGTTTTTTTTTTCGGCATACTTTTATATTTAATAGTAGGTAATGAAATAAACACTAAAACCATAAAAATTAGAGAAATGTAAGAACTAAATCATATTGTCAATAGAAAATAAATATATAACAATATAAAATAATCTATTTTAAAAGACAAGCTAAATGAAATTGGAAAAATTTTGCTTACTTATAAAATCATATACAACTATTTAATATAAATACTCGACTTAAATTTTAAAATAAAAAAGATTTTTTATAAGCCAAAATAACCATTAATTATCCTTTGAAAATTTAAGTAGAAAGTGAGGAGAACCTTCAACGTATTTTTGCACATGGAAAAGTCCAACTGTTGGGGATTTTATTTTTAGCGACATAATTAGAATGAGACGAAATAAGATTTTTGTTTAAATTTAGATATATGAATTGTTTTTTCTTTTTGCTTGTTTAAGGATGACAGATTGTGGACATCTTTTAGAAAAAGAAGGGCAGAAAGAAAGTGTTTATCCTAATGATTAACGAATATTGGAGGCTTTTTCACTTTGCTTCCCAATTTGTAATACCTTTGTGTTTTAGGTTTACTTTTCACCCCATGAAAGAAGAAAGAAAGGAGGAAGTAGCAGTGCATTATTATTGTGAGATGGAAGAAGCCAAAAGGCAGAGCCATAAAAGTGCAGTTAAGTTCCCCGCAAGCATGAAACCTCAACCAAGGCTTTGCTTTGAATGGAAAAGAATATGCACTAATTAACATGTAATTATATATTACAGATGTAATTATATATTACAGAAGAAAAAACAACACTCCAAACTCACGTCACATGAATGAATCTGGAAAAACTTTCCTTCTCTTCCAATAAGGGATACCCTTATTATCCCCTTTCACCGCCACCTCTACCCTGCTTCCTATCTACCCCATCAATCTTTCTCTCACCCCTTTTTATCCCTCCCTTTTCCCCTCACATTCACACATCTGTTTCTACCTTACATATTCCCTCCTACCATCTTATCCCTTCACATTCAATTATTAATTTCCCTGACACACATCCCACACATAACTACAAAAGGTAAAAGAAGAAAAAGATAAATAGTCACATATACAATTTTTCTATCATATAACAAAGTATAAGATCATATAATTGAACTACAAATTTCATTTTATGAGTTAAATATCTCTAATATGAAAGTCTCTCTTTATAAAAAATATGTTAGTTTATCCTTTTTATTTGCTTTCGAACTACTATCAAATTATCGTAAGTTTCATCCATTTGACATGTTTATTTCTCAACGTAAAGGGTGTGGTGGAGATCTTATAACGATTAAAAATATAATAATTTTTTAATATATAAGTGTAAATATTGTTTTATAAGTAAGTTTTATAACATTAAATTAAGTATGGTATGAAATATTTTCATGTTTTAAAAAATATTTGTATTTATAATTATCTTTCCATTAACCTAATTTTTATAGTTTATCCTTAAAAAATATAGAATAGTAAAAAAACATTTACCTCTAAGTTCAAATAAAGAATAATTGATTTTCTTTATAATATTATTATTTTTTATATAAAATAAAGATTAAACACGAATTTCATATTTGACAACGTAGGAAAATATGATATCTAAATGATACATCAATGAGCATAATCTTGTTATTACTATATAATATAATGAAGTTGATATGTTATAGGTAGCTTGAAAATAATGTATAAATACCCTTATGCTCACTAGACATGCATTATAGGGCAACACATACGTTATAAATATCTGCACAAATGTAAGAAAAGGTTTAGAAAGAAAGATGGAACACTGTTAACCTTTGACATGATTTGGAGGATATTGATTTGTGGGTTAATTTTTTCAGCGAAAGATTCCTGCGGCAATCAATAAACAATGTTTGGATCCTTTATACCTGTCCTTCCTCTGCAACAAATTAAGATATAGAACAGTATATTAGTTATTAAAAATCAGAGTACTTCTAATAATTGGTTGTTTCAGGTCAAGATATTCTGACATTTGCCACTCTGTTGCTGCAGAAATTCAAATCCTCTTACCTGCTACTGTGGTCACATGAACATTTCATAGGTAATTATATCAATACGTAGAATTTATGGCTTATGTGCTTTTATTATGGTTTGTTTTTAGTATAAAAGAGAAAATAAGAATAAATATTTGATAAATCTAGGAATTAGAGGGTTAAAATTTTGTATTTATTAGAATAGTATTATTAGAGTAAATTTTTATTATGCAACTAATATTATTAGAGTAAATTTTTATAATGTGGTTTGAAATATAGCTTCTTAATGATGATTTTATCTTAAAAAAAAGTTTTGACTGACTTGAGAGAAGAGACTTTACTTCCGATTTCATGTTCGATTTGAAACTTTAATATATTATGATTTTATTTTTATAAGGTATTGGGTGAGTTAAGTAAAAAAGATATATATATTTTAAAAAAATATTTCTGTAATTATATTACAGGTGTAAGTTATCCATCAATTTTTTTTAATCATTAATTTTTTATTAAAAAAAATGATCAACAAGTTTTAAAGATATTTTTTTTAACAATTAAATTTGTTTTAGACACATTATTTTAATTTTATATTTCACTTAAACAAATCTGAATCTAGTTTTATTTATTGAACCAATTAACCTGAACTTTTAGTACAAAAATATACAGAAGATGTTTCAATCACATTCTATTACAAATTAACAAGTATAATGAGTATGTTAATTTTTATAATAATTATTTTAAAACTTATAATTACTATGACTTTTATTTGAAAATGTAAGAAATTTAACGCATACAGTTGTTTTTTTATTTAACTAAATATACATGTTTGTCTGTTTGTATTTTGTTTACAACTATGTTTTCATTTTTTTAAATGTTGAGTTTAATTGATTTTAACAGTTTTGTACGGTTAATGTGAGAAAAGAGTTTGAAAAAGAATAATGAATAAATTAAAGAGTAGTTAAAAAAATCAAATTTCTAATAAAAATGCGTAAATCAAACGAAGATATTTGTGTTTATGACTGGTTTATGGCTATAAATTAAACAAATAAATAATTTTGATTCTTTACATTCTACCTTCAAAATAAATTTCAAACTTTTTTTGGCCAGTGATTAACCCAGGTTAATTAATATTCAGAAAATGCTCTTCCAGATGAGGCATCTTCTGCGCAGTTTCGGGGAATTATTCACATCACATGCTTCATCACCTTGAATAATCGGTGCTCACTAAGATTCCAGTCTATAACATATTCATTACTCCATTCATATATATTAACCAAATTCAGGTAAGTTTCATTAATTCCCTTAAACCACAGTTTATTTATTTATACTAATTACGTAGCTTACTGCGATACAAGTATTCATTACTGCATTTATATATGTATTAACCAAGTTTAATCAACTTCCATACCCTTAATTTATTATATAATATATAGTTTACTACGGTAGAAATATCTGAAATATGCTAGCCTCATACAAGTTACCATTTTCAATGCAGTAATAATTTGTTGAGGAAAATTTTTGACGTACTCAAAGGCAGCATATATTCCGGTATTCATGAAGTTTTGAAAGGAAACAATAGTCGTATGTTAGAGGTAGGCACTAGCTAGCTAGGTGATGGAACCTTTAAATTCACAGGTTGGCAAAAAAGAAAAGAAAATGCTCAATTTTCTTAGGAATTAATGCTCCTCACTGTTGGTGGGGTGTCACAACTCACAAATACGTATTCGACAGCGTGTATAAAACTATATTATGCAGAAGAAGAAATCAAAGGGTTATTTAAAACGAGTGCTAAATAATCTAGAGTTGGAAATATCTACAAGAAGAGATGGATAGAAAGTACTCCGAAGAATTCAACTAGATAGATTTAATACAAAAGAGAATTCTGATTTGTGTACAGAAGCGACGAGTTGAACTTGGAATATATGACGCAGCTAAAAAATTGAAAGAAAAGAATAAAAAAACCAAACCCACTAATATAACAAAAGAATATAGATGTACACGATTCATCAAGTCCTTCCCTCGATATAACCTATGAATACAAAAACTAACACCGAAAAGGCCTGGATATATATCATAAATCTATACAGTGCAAGAACTTTCCTATATATCATGTCTAGTAATCTGTATGATCATGTTTATGATGATAAGATCAGTATGTATATGACTGATTAAAACCAAACAAAAGATAAAAAAAGAAGAAGAGAAAAGGTATGTGATGATTAATTACTATGCACGATGCTGACGATCCCAAAATGAAAAAACCATGGATCTGCAAACTTATTGCTTTATGTAAATTCTCTTATCTTCTTCAGAAGTCATCCCACTGCAGGCATTCCAAATCTGAGAGCGGTGCAACTGAAGAAGGACCTTCAAGATCCTCGTACAATGCCCTATTTCTTCCCATATTGTCTTGCTTCGAAACCACCGAGGATGTTTCAGTGTTTCTGTCGTTGCTTAAGCCTGTGTCTTGTGAGTGGTTAGAAGAGAATTGCTCCATCTTGCACTGTTTGTCCAATATTCCACCTAAGTGGTCGTTGTTCTTGGCTGCAAATGCTCTAAGAATAGCTTGATCGTGGTTGTTAATGTTGTTGTTGCTACTGAAACCCGAACCGGCGATACTTGGCATGATGGAACTTTTGATCCTGTTTTGGTGCACATAGTAATCAGAGAACATGTTTGAGGGCTGTGAGAGTGTGTTGTTTCCAATCGGGTTAACGTTGTTGCTGATATTGGCTTGGTTGGAGGTGTAGCTAATTGTGGGAATCTCATAGTTTCTGTGGTGGTCTTCTGGTTTGATGAGAAGCTGGTGGTGGTTGTTGATGGAGAAACTGGGAAGATAATAGCCCTCCGATGATTGTGATTTAGTTGATGAAAGTGGGTTAGTGGTGTTGGTGTTTCCGTAAGGAGGATCCATGAGAGGTGGGAGTGAAGAATAATCAAGAAGATCATCCCCAATAGAGTTTATCCTCAAAAGGCCAGGTATTGAGGACTTTTTGACATCTGTGTTCTTGTGAAAAACCCTTGAAACAACCCATTCGTCCTGAAATAATAATAATATCACCAAAAGCAAGAAAAGGAAAAAAAAAAAAAACAGAAAACTGTTAGCTTTCTTCAGACAACTAATAAAACTAAAGCTACATATGACTAAAGGAAATACATGAAAGAAACTCCCAAACTAACACAGAAAAGACACTTTTCTAAAAAGAAAAGGTTCACTTTTCATACCTTTGCTGCCTTAGGAAGGTTGTAACTTGCAAATTTGCCCTCCAATCTGAATTCATGCATGACCCAATTGGTTTTCTCCCCCTTTGGAGCTCTCCCTCTATAGAACACAAGGGTCTTCTTCATCCCAACAAGGTTGCCTTTCCCTTTGAAAATCTCCTTATCTTTTCCAGTGGCCTTCCAGTACCCAGATTCTGTTGCTCTATTGGTTCTCATGCCGGTTGGATACTTTCTATCCTTTTGGCAGAAGAAGTACCACTCTTTCTCTCCTATCTTGGCTTTCTCTGCACAACATAAAGTCAATATTTCATCAAATTTCAAAACAACAACCAAACTACAAACAGAAGCCAAAGGACAAACATGAATAAAAAAACAATTTACTTACTTGGTAAATCCCAAGGTTCACACTTATTCAAATCAGCCTCTCCAATAGCAATCGCATTGAAACTACTGTTCTTCACCTTCTCGGTGAGATAATAAGTAATTATCTCCTCATCTGTGGGGTGAAACCTGAAACCTGGAGGCAAATCTAGAGGCTCCTCACCTTTGTTCAACACGATAGGCTCTTCCATAAAATCGAATATGAGTATGAAGTACTGAAATACTATATGTATATATACCACAAAACCCTTTTGTGTTTCAAGCTATCAAGAGAAATATAAGAAGAGATGGAAAGAAAAGAGAAATGAAAAAGAAGAATCAATTCTAAGAAGAAGAAGAAGTGCAAGAGAGCTTTTAAGAAAGTAGAACAAAGAGAAGATGGTGTGTTTAAATAGGGGAGCGTGTGCATATACACCTCACACGCTGGAAGATCCGTGGTGTGCAAGGCACTTGCTGAGGAAGCCTACAATTGGTGTTTTGTTTTTTCTTTCTTTATTCTTTGTTTTTTTTTTCCAATGGTTTTGTTTTCAGAATACGTGTATTTTATTGGTATATATATGACGTATGTCCTATCCGGGTGGTTTCTTCTTCATATCTACCCCCTTTGAAAACGAATGTGAGAGAAAAGAAATGGTAAAAAAGGTGCTTTCAAAGCTGTGGACCCAGTTCCCATAGGCTCCCCACTTTTTCATATTATTAAAAATAAATGAAATAAAACAACTTTATCAGTTAGCTTCAACCTAACTTTTGCTGATTTTCATGACCTGTTTGCATCCATTAGCAGGCTCTGGTAGAATATGTGGAACAGTGGCAAAAAGCAGAAAATAAAAATGAAGCGTTCTTCCTTCATGTCACTTTTGCTTCTCATTATGTGTGCTATTGAAAGCAGATGTTGCTAGTTCTGCTACTGCTACTTAAATTTCATTTTGTCTACAAACACTAGCAGCTTTAGGTGGGTGGTGGTTGTTTCAGTTGGTGGCTAGCTTGGCTCAGCTGCTTCATATAATAATATTCTACACATTTGTTTCAATTCCTAACCTCATTGAAAAATTATACCAATAGTATAAATCATATCTAATGCTTCCATGATTGGCTAACTTCTCTTTATTATTAATTAATATGAAATATTTAATCATATGGCAACAATTAATTCCCCACACAAATGAAGTAGAAGATTAAAAAAAAAAAAAAAAAAACAGTGCCTGTTGGAAAGAATCCAAAGGCTTTCACACTTTCACACCAATAAGTCAAAAAATGAATCAGTAAATTGTGAATTTTCCAAGAGCTTTCCAATGTTCCATTCTTACCAGGCAATGCGTACATGGTCTACCCTCCAAAATTTTTGTTATCAGTAATTTTGTGTTTATTTGTTAAAACATGGAGCCTTTTTTCTTAATCAAGAAAATTATCTTATAATAATAATAATAATTAAGAATTAACAACTGTGTCCCTCTTCATATATATATTTATAAAAATATGAATGGAAGATAACATTGGGAAGAGTAGAGCATGTACATGTGTGAAAAGAAGGTAAATAATGGAATATTTTGTAATTTGATTTATTTAATTTAAATAAGGTATAAAACTATATGCCCCTTTGACATCACAAGTCACAAGTAGGCTTTAAATTAACATGTAAATTTGGTGTCTAAAATAATAAATGGAGGAGAGAATTAATGAATCTGTCTGACTCTAAAAGTTAAAATCAAATACATGTTTTTTATAATGTAAAGCACCGATAGATGATTTTGTTGGTTTGGATGAAAACAATGTATATACAAGTCATCATCATCGATAAATATTTAATTTCACCACTTGTCGTGTATGTACGAGTAGGATGGACTAGCCACTAAAAAATGGGGCTGAATATTGACACCATCTCTGCAACTTCCTTGAAACTTCTAAGCCAAATTTGCGAGATAATAATAAAAATGGTCAATTTATGGTGGGCATGGAACAAAAATTATGCCAACAGATAGCCATTTTAGTAGACCCTCTACACTAAATATAAAGCTGAAAATGTACCATAAATGTTAATAAAGAGAGATGAACACTCATCAAAGCCTCACTTTTAGAGGAAATTAAGAGTAATTATAGTCTTCTTTAACCATGGAAAAGGTCAACAACAAGATTAGTGCTTTCGTAATTTGGCTTTGGTGAGTTGTAGCTGCCGTCGTTAATCGATTATTAAAAGCCCAAAGGAAAAGGAAAAAGAAAATAACGCGTCTTCATAACGAGATCCAAGGGTGAAAAAGTGAAACATTCCGGCGCCGACATTGAAAAAAATGAAAACCGAGTTGTTGTTTTTTTTTGGTTAAGAATCACTGTTCCAATCCACCACCTCCTCTTCGTTGAATGCATAGGAAGTTGCACTATTTCCATTTGTTTATGCAAAAACCAACCAGATTAACTGACTAATCACTACCTCCAACATTTATTAATGCATAATGTTACATGTTACAATTTTTTAAACATTGTTCATAAACTATTGTTTTTTTTTTATTTTTTATATATCCAAGTCCGTTAAAATCTACACCCACTTGACACGTGTTGACATTATCAGAAACGAATGTGGGGTTGAGCTGGAAAATATTTTAAAAAAAAGTGATTATTCTAGTACATGTTAATTAATGGTTTCGTTCTTTGATTTATTTAATTAAGCGCGTGGTAGTGAGGTGTTAGGGTTAAAATGGGTACGCGCCATCTCATGTTTGGCTGTGCCTGATTCTGCCACATGCCCTCCGAATTTTGCGAGACAATATTCAAACCCCACCACTCGATACGGATTAAATTCCGCTAAACGCACTTATTTTATTCAATATTGAATTTCATTGCCTTTGTCTTTTCTAGTACTATATACTATATTACTAATTAGTGTTTGGAATAATGTGGATTAAAAAAACAAAATAAAAATAAAAATAAAAATAATGAAAACGTGTGGACCCCTTCTTTGCTCGGAGCATGCTTTGTTGATAATTATTATTGTATTGGTATGTGATAAAATAACAAGGTAGGGGGTGTTTGGATTGGAATGGAAGCCTTGAGAAAACTCTTTGCTCTTAAAACTGTTTGACTTTTGCACAACGAAACTCAACCGCAAAAGCAAAAACAGAAGCATTCTCCACAGTCCTCACAATCCCCAAACAGGTGACGTTTTATGACGCTACAGCTTGAATAATCACGGTATGCTTAAAGGGAACGTATATTTTACATAATAAAACTTATCTACGAAATAATTATATGATCAAATGTTACTACAACAGTATGCTCTCCTTTTAAAGTAGTTGAATCCCTATATCTATGCCTCAGTGCAAGCGATGGCAGATTGATTGAATTGGATGAAGAAATCTAGACACAGTGATGTCATGTAACCCTATATTTCTGGACTTTACTGTAACAAAGACGCATACTTATATATATATATATATATATATATATATATATATATATATATATATATATATATAGATAGATAGATATAATCGTAGTTCTCTTATCCTTAATAATGTAATTAGTATGATTAATGAATGAAATGGTGGGCCAAAGAGGGTGGGGTTGGGTAGCACCAATTATTGGTGGAATACAAACGTAAAGCGCAGCAATATCAGATTAACAGGGAACTGGAGGGACCAATCATCCCAATTTTCTCACACTGTTTCGTAGGTTCAGACAGTTGCCTCCAATGGGACAAATTAATGCATTCTAAATTGTTTATCCTAAGAATAAGAAAGAGGAGAAACAAACCTGCTTTTTTTCGGCTAATCCGATCCTGTTTAGTAAATATTTTTAACCCTACAAAAAATGTCTCCTTAATCATCAGCAGTTGATTTTTTCACCTTCAAACTTTGAACAAAGACCATGACAAAATTAAGAAACTGCCCTGATTGGTAGTTGGTTACACCTGCAAATCTCTCTTTCTCTTTTTATAATATACAAAACAAGAAAATACAAAACCCTATGTCCTTCTCAGTTTATATATATATATATATATATACATATATCAGTGTTGGTGGTAACACAAATATTAACAGTAGTAGTGACCATATTTTAATGGTTGAACTACCTAAGTGTAAGGGCATGATGCATGATCACAGAGTGAATCCAAATATATTACACATACCTATCCGTTGGATTGAAATCTGCTTACTATTAGTTGTTTTCATTATAATATAATTGTCTTCGGGTCACGATGAAAGAGTCACATTCACACACAGTACACATGACCGAATCATGTTGGTATCAAATAAAGAAGAGATAAGGTGTAACTGATGGAAATATCGCTTTTGTTTTTTAGTATACAAAGGAATCATATATTTTAAAGTTTCTTACAAAGTTCTTCACCTTTAAAGTTATGAACCGGAGTTAAGGTATATCAGTAGGGCCACCAGGAAGTGTAGCCAATACTTATCACCAAGCGTCTGAGTAATCAACTTCAAACATCATTTTTCCCTTTTGTACGTGAAAAAAACAAAGAAAAAGAAGGTGGGGGCAAGGAAATGAGCCTTATTTTACACAATATAAAATAGTTTTCAATTCACTATTTGTAAATACCATGGAATATCCATGACAAAGGGAGACAGATTCATGATGTAGAAGCATCTCTTAAACCAAACAAATGAACCTATTTTGTATGATATATTCGAGTGTATCAGCAAGTCTCTCTTGGGCATGAGTAACAAAACAGTGCAGATAATCATTAACAAGCGAATGAAGACATGAACATAATGACAATTTTGATTGAAACTGAGTAATATATAAAGTTTTTGGTGGCATTACTGTCTGCATCAGAATGAGCACTGGTCCCTTCATGCCACCCATAAAAAAGATAAAATGTTTTTGGATTTTCAGTTTCTTAATGAAACTCGAAATATTAACATAAAAGATAAAAATCATCAATTAAAAAAAAAATACCATCAAGGTTAAATCCATCGTTATCAAAATACTAAAAATAAAAACGAATACCAAGTTTAACTAAATAAAACGAGACACCTAAAATACCTCTTTTAGCGGAATATTGAGTCTTTTTAATGGTTAAATTGTATTAAATAGCTTGATTAACTACTTTTAATAATATTATGTTTATCAGTTATATATTTTTTCATTCATAAGATTTAACTTCGACCTTATAAAATTTATATCTAATTTCACTAATATCAACTACTTGTAATTATCTAAATCACAATTTAACAAAAAAAAATAGCAACAGATTTATAAATATATTTTCTCATATAAAATAAAAATGATTGAAAATCATAAACTATAATGAACTCTACTCCTCATTTTTTTTCTCAACTATATATTCTATATATATAAAAAAAATTGTGTTAATTGTTTCAAAATAAAAGCAGCAAAGCTGAATAAAATTGTGTAGTAAAAGATCATAACACAAGGTCACCATCTTCGGTGACATATATTTTTATCAATTATTTGAAAAAATATATATATTAATAATAAAAAAATAAAAAAGATGAATGAAGATGAAAATCATAAATATATTATCTTCTAAATAGTTGGGCTGTTAATAGTATTGGATAGAAATTTTAACAGTGTTTAATAATAAAAAAAAGTAAATATTTTATTATAGATTTTTAATTTGATTTTTTTTTAAGTGAAAAAAGTTATTTAAAATGAAAAAAAAATTAATAATAAAAATGAATATTTTATTATAAATGGTTGAATACGTAAGTTTTCCCGGTGCGGACATATTTATGATTGACTCCTTCCAATATGGAGGAGACGAAGAGGAAGGAAGTAATGACGAAGAAGAAGAAGAAGAAGGTGATGAGTGATGAGTGATGAGAGCGTGAGAAGTAGTAAATCTTATGAAACTTTGCCAGCATTGATCCCTGTCATTACTCTGTAAAATCTAATCACCAAGTGGGTCTCCATTGACCAGAGTATAACACTATTAATTCAAACTATTCATCTCTCTTTTCTAACTTCAAAAATAAATCAAACAAAATCACAGACACTTAAATATCGCATGAGGTAGGTATTTTACATGAATTGGTAGCACTTGGCTTCTCTACTTCCCTATTTATTATTAGGTCTAAAGGGTCTGGTTCCCATTAAATTTAAATAAATTATACCTAAGTACACACCTCTCATCACACTATCATATCATAAAAAAATAAAATAAAATAATAAAACTTTTTTTATATATATAAGTGGGTGTTTTATAACTCAACTGTTCTTCACCATTAAAGGTGCAAGAATCTTGAAAGGGATAATCTGGGTCAACTGGGAAAATGAGGAGCAAGAGATGAAACAAGGGATTAATTTATGAATCAGTGTGTACGGAGGAATTTCTCAGGATATGTTATCAGACTTTAGCCTACATTTAAAGATAAACTAATTTTATGAAAAATATGCTTGAACTCAATATATATTCAATATACTTTTCTCAGATTATACAATAATAATAAATACAAAAATTTAAAATTTTATTAAATAAAGATGAGAAAGTTAAATTAATAAGATAGTAAATGGTAATATAATATTTTAAGGTTGTGTATTAAAAATAAAAAATAATATGATATGTCGAACCAATTGGAGTTTGGTAGCAGAAGAAAAGGAAAGAAAGTGGGAGGAGCAGGAAGTGAGGTTAAATTTTGTTGCAGCTTTTCACGTAATAAAGGCTTAAGAAAAGAATGTGTACACAAAAGTCTATCGTGTAGTGCCCATCACTGTCACTTTTCTGTGGGAGTTACACCTAATCTACAAATCCCTCCAATTTAATCATTTTTTTTTCATTTGGGTTAAATTATTGAACATATAGTTTTTAATTTATACAATTAAAACTATTATAATAATAATTACTATTATTATTATTATAGATATCACATTCAATTTTCTTATTTATGATTATTTTGCATAAACATTAAATCAATTTGTTTAGTTTTTTACTCATGAAAAAAAATTATCGTGACTATTTTTTGATGGAGTAGTTGAAAAAATTAAAATATAATAAATAAAAAAATATTATACTAATCTTGAAACAAAATTAAGGTTTATAATTAATGAACATTAATTTGGTATTAATAGTCTTTACTTTCCCCCTCTCCCATTCTGAAAGTACGGAAAGAGATATAAAAATAAAATAAATTAGTGTCCTATTTCAATCATTAAAAATATATAATGTTTATATCTATAATTGTTGTTGGTCACAGGTTTTCAAATTCAAATTGAGATGAACTATATATGTCATAAAATAGTATTTGAATGAATTATCAAACATTGATTGATTTATAAAATTTTAATTAATAATAATTTAAATTTCACAAATTAACTTTTAATAGGTCATTTAAATTTAAAATAGACATAAGAATAACATTTTGATATTCAAATAATTAATTTTTATGTTTGTTTTCGACATATTTTGGAAGTAGTATATATATTTTCAAGTTATCTGTATAAAATAGAATAAATTATCATTACTTAATAGACCAATATAATGCCTGTGACCATCATCATTATTAAGAAAAATTATCTTTAATAAGGATAAATCCAACATAAGGGACAAAAAAATTAAAATAAATTTTATATCCTATATAAAATATCAATAGAAAAAAAATTCTATTACTAAATAGCGCACTCTGCACTGCGGGTAGAATATTGTTGATAAAATAAAATCAATAAACGATCTATATCCTCAAATTAATAAAATAAAATAAAAGTTTATTTTCTTCATCATTGCAATGATGAATATAAAAACAACAATTAAATAGTGAGATCAATGAAATTCAAATGTTTTGTATAAAAGAATACATACTTAAAATGAATTTACAAAAAGGAAAATAAAATATGTATATAAAATAATTATTTTGATCTTAGCATAAAAACAAATTTTGTTTAACCTAATACTATACTTAATATGTTTTAATCTTTTGTGACCTTTTTTCAGATTGAAACTTTTTATTTTATCTTTTTAAAAATAATCAATGCTAACAAAAAAAAAGAAAAGAACGTCATAAAACTTTATGTCATGTTACGAAAATAAAGATGTACTCTAAATATATAAATTTTAGAACACATTTTTATTTTTTTAATATTTTTAGAAACTATTTTTCGTAAGATGAAATAATACAAAAGTTTATGAAAATAAAAAAATATTTTCAACCAAAACTTTCCAAAAGGAAGAATCACGTTGAAGAAATAAAAAACTATTTTAATTTAATTGAAAAAAAAAACTTAATTTAAATTTATTTTGTATAGTACTAGAAGCATCATCCAAAGTTGGGGAAAGTGAAAGTAAAAAAAGAGTCAGTTTAGTATGCAAAAAGTATAAAGAAGATATAAATGTTTTGGAAAAAATAAAGATAAATATATAATTTTAAATAAAAGAAAGAAGTGGTGAGTAGATATTGGAAAAAGGGAAGTGTGCTTAGCACTAACCTATTTAATTTATTCAAGGTTTGTAGCCCAACAATTAAGATACCCATATTGAAATAGGCTTAGCCCATTTATTATCGAACACAACAAAACAGACTAATTATCGTCACTATCTCTCATAAACGAAAAAAAGAGAGTAAATTGTTTAATTTAAGTGTATTTTGGCATGAACCTGTACTAAAAAAATCCTTTTGCAGAGATTTTAAGTAAATTTAATTTTGAATTCTATCGAGATGTTGTGTACAATGGGGAAGCCATTTCTCTCACAAAACCTTATTCCATAAAAAGCTTTCCCTTCTATTTCCTACTCGTGTTCTTCTTTTAAGTTTTTTTTTTTTTTTAAATAAACTTTCTTATATTGTTCTTTATAGCAAATATATCTTTATGTAATAAAAATAATTAATTATTATTATCAATATTTAATATTATTAAAAAGACAGGACATTTAAGACAACCGACGATGCTGCCAATGTTAGTTAAATAGTGATCAGTGACAGATGAAACAACACTGAATGAAATTAAGATATAAAGAGGCACATGGAAATCAGCACACTAACCAGTGTCACATGTATGTAGTAGGAGTAATAATAGATCAACACACTTATTCTAGTCAAAAACCTCATTGCATGTTTTAGTACCAGTAAATGCACTTCACCATTCATATTCTAGATAACACCCGCATGTAAAACATAAGCACAAACCACTCAGATGGAAGGGCCAATGGTCCTCCTAACTTAACGCATCTTCAAAGCCAACGCAATTCCACATCAATTTTACTCCTGCATTAAGCATAATCGTTAAGTTTGAACAAAAAGCATGTAAAATATTTTATTTTCTGGATTGTAAGCTAATAACTGAAAAGAAAAAGAAACATAAAAAGCTGTAGAGTAGATAGTATATATTTAGAATCATTAGGAATCAAACATTGATGACACAGCAAATCGTGGGAATCCTCTTAGCAAATGGTGAGACATTTATAAATATAGCATATATTATGCATGCAAACTTATAGCCTATTCTGATACCATGTCAGATAACAAACATAACATAGCACTTATGCGGACAAACTTCATTATAGTTAGATTATAATGTTTTAGAACTATTTGACATTTAGAAGGCATCACAAAAAGGAAGAAACACGATAGAGATTTGCTAGGAATTTAATTTATTATGTAGTGTGCAGAAAACTTACAGTAGGGTACGATCTTCCACCGCTGGTTATCACCACTGTTCCAGCCCCAGAGGACTATTGTAGTGCCATCATGCACACCTCCAGAATTCTTATCACCTTGGAAAGCATCCACATTAAGATGAATGTTATTGACCATCCTTATAGCTCTGTGGCCATCACCTAGGTCCCGGCTCTCGGACCACAGAATAGACTCATCCAGGTAGTCTGCTTTGTAAGGTATCAGCCGAACCTATAAAAGAATGATACAAGTTTCCCAAGAAAATAACAAATTAACAAAAACGGATGTTATACAAATTGCTATTCTGAATTTTGATCTCCCCTTCTAACAAACGCTTTTCACTTTCCGATTCTATCCATGAAAGAAATTACGTGGAGAATCACACACAAACAAGTGATGAGATATGCAACTCAACCATGAAATTTCAGAATCCATAACAATATGCTTTGTACTTATTGAAAGTATAAAACAGAAAGAGATATAGATAACATTGTTTTTGTAATAGAAGAGGTTTGGCGCCCAGAAGCATGACTTGTCAAAGAAAGTGCACTAATAAACAATGAACACAGTATCGTTTTACTGTTGCTCTTGACTACACATTTAATTTCTACTAACTTTGAAGTTTAACCCATTTTTTTATTCATGTGAATCATGTCACTTGAAAGGCAATAGACAACCCAATAAAGGTTAACCGAAGAAGTTGCATTGCAGTTACTCCAATGCAAATAGTTTCAAAATTTGCACATCAGAACAACACAACAAAGCATCTTTATCTTAAAAGCATAAAGATCCAACCCACTCATTGTTAAAGCCATTGAGAAAAGGTCCTAGCTTCACCATTTTGATATTAGTGTTATTATGATCACATATTCACTCTCTCTTCCAACTCATTTCCATCTCATTTTTTTTTCCTATCTCTCTTTTACTTTCCATTACATCATGTACCAACTCTATCATTTTTTTTTCTCTTTATTTTTTCTTTTTACCACTCCCTTTCATCCACCCATAAACCCACTTTTGAGTTATTCGAAACAGAAAAGCTAGCAAAGCCATCATGTTTGTTACCACGGTAAATAAATATTCAGTAGTAACAAAACAGCAAGATTACATACTGGCATCTACTTACAGTAACAGACATCACATTCCACTCAAATACTCATTTCCTACAATCAGGAATTTAACACACGCAGTCAGCGAATAATTGTAAACCGTTGGATGAAAATCAGATGGATCATATCTTAAACCGTAAATCAAACTTAAAAATATGCATCTGAAATTTAATCCTTCCAATCTTCATCCACCGATGCCGATCCCAAATTGCGTGAATGCACCAAACCGGATCGGGTTGCTTACAAAAATATCTACACAAAGGGTTGAAATTGAAACACTGGAAGGAAAACATAACAAGCCAATATTGCTGATCACCCATTAGGATCATTCAAACAACTCACAATTATCTAGACGAAAATTCCCATTCCAAAATCCAAGTTGAAAAACGAGCATAGCAATTACACACGATTACACCAAAGAAAATAAAACACTTTGCAATGAAAGATTAAACCTTGAGAGAAAGATCTTACTGGATGAGAGGCACCAATGGAATGCTTCAAGGCCTCACCAGTGGCCTTGTTGACCAAAGAGAAAGCAGGGCATCCCTCTTCATCCTTCACCCTGGTGCTGTACTTCTCATCCTTGTACCAATGCTGCATTTCACAAATAATCAAATAAAAAATAATTAATCTATCACAGAAAAAGATCACATGTTTCGTGAATTGGGGATCCGAGGGAGACACTTGATGCTACCTGGTAGTCATTGGTTGGATCGGAGGGTGCGAGAACGACTTCGCCCTGACGAACGGTGAGAGAGAAATCGGGCCCAGCCTTGGTGACAACCCTAACGGTGGGTTTGGTATCAACCTGGTGGCTGACGTGGCTCACGGTGGTGTTGGGAGCGTTGTGAGAAGAGAAATGAGGGATATGGTGGGTCTCGTGAGCCACGTGGTGCACGGAGGAGGTGGCTCCGGGAGGGGGGTAATCAGCTGCAGCAGGAGCGTGGGAGTAGCCGTGATCAGTTTCATGATGATGATGGTGGTGGTGATGAGAAGGGGGAGCAGAGTAGTTGAAGTCCTGGGACACGTGTCCTGGTGGTGGCACGTGAGAGGTGTGGAACACGTTGGTCTCGGGCGGTGGTGGAGGGGCGCCATAGTAGTTTGGGGGTGGCTGGTTGGGGAAGGTGTTTCCCGGCGGGGGATAAACGGTGGGTGGTTCATCGTCGTCGTCGTCTCTGCGGTGGTGGGTGTGGCTGAAGGGATACGACATGGTTGATTCTGGGTTTTGGAATCGGAACAAAGAAGAGAGTGCTTAGTGGTGGTTAAGCTTAATCTGGTGGATATAAATGACGTTGAAAATGGAACAATAAATAAATTCCATTAAAATGCCACTGACGGTTGGATCCGTGACACGCTTTCTTTTTGTGCGGAGCGATTTTCTTCTCTGCAACTTTCAGACTAAATTTGTAATTAATTATTAATTAGTAAAATGTTAAAGAAGAGTGACGTGTCCTTGTGAATCGATAGATATCTCATTTTTTTATGTTGCTTGCGACATATATACCATTTTTTTGTTGCTTACCACGAATATGCCATTTTTATTACTCAAATATATATTTATAAAATGTATTATGTAAATATGAGTTTGACTTATTCTGCTGTTGTAACACATAGAACTATATATAAAAATTATTTGGGCCTTAATGATGGACTTTATTTATATAACTATTTTGCATATACCTAACACCAATCATCTTTCAACCACCCTAAAACGTCGCTGCTACAACTCATTTAGGTGCACCAATGGAGGATGAAAACGAAGCAATAGAGAGGGAAAGAAGCCTCGTACTGAAGCAAAAGATCAGGGTATGTAAATTGTGGGGGTGTAGATAGAAACGATGGAGAAAGCAAGAGCCTATTTAATGTTCGCGCAGCCATGCTGTCATGGGCTTTAAGAAACACAAAGCTTAAATGATGTTGTCTAGAGTTTAACATGGGCTTGGGTCATTCTTTGGAGGCTGTAGCTTCCGACATCCACATAATTTCTTCCTGCCGCCCCATAATTAAATTAAATCCTATTTTATCCTTGCACATTGCAGGAGTAAGAAAATAGGAAAATTTGTTCCAAAAACATGTTTTATAAAGTGTTTTCCAGAATATATTTATAGACTTTCTTTTTCAGAAATGCATTTCAAAATATACTTTCTGGAATTGATTTTTGAAAATGCACTCTGAAAAGTGCTTTTCATAGTACATTTTCAAAATGAATTTTCTGGAAATGTATTCCAGAATACACTTTCTAGAATATATTTTTGGAATTGATTCCAGAAATGTATTTTGGAAAATTAATTTTGAAATATATTTCCAGAATTATATTTTTGAAAATGCATTATGGATTCATCGTTCTGGCATTTGAGTGCAGGAACATGTAATTCATACATAATATGAACAATCACTTACCTTCAATTGTTAGAAAAGGCCTTCAATGGAGGTGATAGCACAAAAAAATTAAATAGTCAAGGAATAGAGGTACAAAAGTTATACACAAATAGAAGAAAAATAAGTTAGGGTAAAAAACAAAATTTTGAGAAAGGTATTTTAGGTATTTGACTTGGAGTATGGAGATGTATGGAGAAATTATAGGGGTGCAGGAAACAAGAGCCTTCTTTGGAAAACCCCACCTACATACACACAAAACATTCACTTGATATTCTATATATACTGATGAAAAAAATTCGAGAAATATATTAGATTAGACTAAAAAATTTGTGATTTTAATTGAATAAAACCTATTTGGGCTTGGAGCTTAGAATATGACCTACATGGATTTAGACTAGGTTAACCTATAAACTTATGAGTTAGTTTGTTTTATAAAATAATGATAATATTTTAAATAAAAATAACAATAATATATATATATATATATATATATATATATATATATTATAAATTAATTTGATAAGGGATTAACTTATTTTAAGAATAAATGTAAGAGAAAGTCTCTAACATCTACTTACTTCATAATTTAATGAGTAAGATGAATTATTATTTTAGATGAATAAATCACTTAACAAACGAGTAATGATAATGAAAAGTAATTTTGCAACCCTTATTTTATGATTTAATGAATATCTTCTATTGTAATTTATATATTAAATCGTTATATTTAAAATAAAAATTATTTTTATTAACTTTTTAATTAATTATTTTTAAGGAGATGTAGGTAACAAAAAAAATGTGTAGTTTTGAAAGAAAAATTCATTTTCTTTGATAAATAACCTTCGTAAAAGGTATCTAACTACTAGGATCAAGTAGTTAAAAGTGATAAAGAGTTTTTAGTTAAAAAAAATGCATTTTCTTTGGAAAGATATTTTTGATATAATGGTATATATACTAGTCATTTAGACTTTCTAAGAAAAATTTGCTTTCGCTGACTGAGATGCTAATGGTACTATAGTACACTAACATCATAGGCTAAAGAAGGTAGAGATAACAAATAGTTTAATTCTTTGATCAAGACTCTCTTAGTATAATTATATTTAAGTCCCCCATGCATGAAGAGTTAAAGGTGACAAAGAATGTCGGAATATAGAGTATGAAGATGGAAGGAAGATATGTAAATGTGAATAACGTCAAAAAATATAATATAGAATAATGTCAAAATATATTAGTATAATAAATAAATTGAGAACATAGTTAGATTATATATGTAATATAATTTAATTTTGCATCATTAATAGTATTTAGCCTATTAGTTCAATTGGTTAGAGCGTCATGCTAATAATGCAAAGGACACATGCTTGAAACCTGCATGAGCCATATAGTCTTTGTAATTTGTGCGCTTAATTATGTGGTGTAGTTGATTTCCAAGATAAATTTTGCATCTAGGAGTATTTTAACTTCCTATATGGAAGCATGACTTATCTGAGTTTTAACTTACATCAATTATCGTTTATACAAATAAATTACATTTTTTTATTAGTACTTCTCTTATGAGTCCGTTATCATTGATAAATAGTATTGAACTTAACTTAATATTTTGTCCCTTTACACTCAATTGGAAAGGGATTGTTTCATCTTGGAATTCTACTCATATATTATCGTTGATCCTTAGAATCAAGTCAACTATGACCACCATTTTGTTACTCCTTACTTTGATTGTCTATATTCTCTTACTATCTTTTGATTTACATGGTTCGTGAATATGGTCTTTAAAGAAGATTGGAACTTCATTTCTAGATGAAAGGTTGGCATTGTTGGTCTCAAGGTGTTTTAGGATTATCACCTTAGGAGAATGTTATAAGAAGTATTGGCTTATGTAAAGTAAAGTAAGGTGTAGAATTTTAAGAAGATAAGTTGTAGAATTTTAAGCAATAGAGTAAACAAACCCAAAGAAAATTTTCACTAGACATTAAGATAGTTGTTTATCTAGATGTGAAGGTTCATTTCCAAGGATTGTGGAGGGAGGAAGAGATGGGATGAAACTAGAAAAGAATAAAGACAAGGGTTGAAAAAATGGATCAGCCCATTAGATAAATAAATGGAGTGAAGAAATAAAGAAGAAAAGATGAAGAGAAGTATGGTGGTGGTACATTGTTGGCACGTCACTAGGGGATGAGCCACCCTAGATAAGTGGTGGTTACTGTCACTTGAACCAATGTTCAAGATAAGACACTCAAAGAGATGAAACACTCTAAGAAATCTCACAAACTTATCATAAATGTCCAACCTAATTACATGAGGGAGAGTCTTCTATTTATAGGCTTTTGGGGGAGAGACCTAAATGGAATTACAAAAGGAGACATAAACTTAACCTAAATCTAAATGCTAGAGTCTCCATGATTCAAATATGTTAGATTCGTCCTAGCCCACCAAAAATACCTCTAAAGGTGTGGGGAACATAAAAAAAGAGATGTGTTTCCTTTTGGGTTATCTCAAGCCTACCAATCCCGCATCCCAAGCTTCTTTCTCTTCAAAAAGGGGTGTAAGACATGAAAAATGAATGTCTTACACCTTTGAGTTGCTCACAGATGTATCCTATGTATCCAAGTCCTCTTTTCCAACAAAAAGATGTGAAAGGAGGTACAAAAAGTGAACCTACACAAGGAAAGAGTAAATAAGTAAAAAACATAGGAAAGAAAATACTTAGTAAATTAAAATGAAGGGTGAGGAGGAAGTCTCTCTTTTAGTCATACTTCTAGTAATCCTCATAGAGATAACCTCTTTCGTCTCCGGGACAACTAGGGATTCATCATCCTCCCCGCCTTGAAGAGAATTCGTCCAGGAATTCTCCAAATCTCTTTAATTCCCTTGTCTTTCTTTTCTTTCTTCTCTCCCCTTTTTTTTTTGCAATTTTTTCTTATTTTACATTAATATGCTTATTGAGATCTATGGTATTGTTGTATTTATCAATTGTTATATTTTTTTCATGTGGTATTTATTGATACAAAATAAATTAGATCTTGAAATAAGTTTATGTTAGAGATTTTCTCTTAGAATAAATAAATGTTTTATCAAATTAATTTATAATACTTATATATTTTTTAATAAAATAATATTATTTTTATTCTTATTTAAAAGTGATTATTATTTTATAAAATGAGTCAATTCATAAGCATATAAGTTAGTCTGACCTAAGTCATGTAGGTTATAACTTAAATGGACTGAGGTGAAATAAATTTGATTTAATTTAGACTACAAAATTATTAGTATAGCTTGATTTATTTTTACGACCTTTTGAACTGATCAATTGATTTAAGTTTATTTTAACACCCCTATTTTTTTTTAATTTTTAACTATTTAAGCATTTTCTTGTTTTAATGTGTCCATCATCTTAATGTTTCTATTCTTGAAATTCTTAATTCCTTTTCGAGTTCCACCAATAATACTATTTTGTTAACATAGTTTTTCTATATTCTGATTATAATAACTAAAATCTTTCATTATTTATCATGTTCCTTGTCGACAACATGTAATCTTCAAAAGCTTACTCGACTTTATGGTAAATAACCTTTAACAAATGAGGAAAACCCTTCAATAAACCATGACCTATTTCTTTTCTTTAGAAGTTGTATCTTTAATAGTTGTTTGATCTCATGAAAAAAAAAAAGAGTTTACAAATATACTCTAATGCTCAAATCAAACAAAAAATAAGTGATAAAATAAATATGTAGTTAATAAATAATAAATTTATATTATTTATATTACTCTTAATAGGTTTTTACTCGTAGGTTTTAATTAAAATCCAATATATATTAGATAATTATTTAATGTATATTGTTTTATGAAAGGATATCCAATTCTTATCCATATAATGATGTTTATATATGTTATTCATATTTTCCTTAGTCAAAGAAAAAACTTAATAAAGGAGAAAATTAATGATTAATATTTTAATAAAAATTTTGATTGCTACGTTATAGCCCAATTTTTTTTACAAAAAATAATGCAGTAGTAAATTAGATCACTGATAACAACCTCTTCTATAATCTTTGCTTTGGGCACTAAATAAATAACTATAAATAATAATTTTGAAAACAAAATTCATTTTAGAGACCATAAATTTGACTGCAATCTTGATAGTTAAATTTTGATATCGACACTGCTACTATTTGATAAAATATTAAATATTAAATATACAAAAACTGTAAAACAAAAGATCAATTAAATAAATATGGTGCACTAATAATGTAAAAAAACTGATAAAATTATATTTCAAATAGAGAATTGCATGTGTGAGTACGCTTAATGGCGTGGTTGAAAAATCAAAATTTAACAGGTTAATGAATTGATATCAAGTGTTGATTTTGATTTGGTCATGTGAGGTTGAAATTAATTTTGAGTTTACATGATTCATATCCAACTCATGCAAAAATTATGAGCATCTCATGGGTGTTTTTAAGGTTATTTTTCGGTGCTTACTTATAATCCTCTTGCAGTATTTTAATATCTTGGTCCAACAAAGAATAAAAAAAACAAAAAGTTTAGACTAGGAGGCTACTTGATTTATACATAAAGTTTTGCATGTCTTACGTAAGAGTGACCAAAAAGGTGATTGAAGAGATAAAACATAGTACATTAAAATAATTGCAGTGTATTGGTGGTCATTTATATGTTTTGTTCTTGTTATTGGTTAACATCAAAGTCTAATTTTACGTTCCACAATAATCAAGATTAATCGTGAACACGTGGAAGTAGTTAGAAAATATTACTTCAAGATAAAGATGATTCTCCATGCAACCTTAATTATATGACAAAAGACAAAAGACAAATTCAGAATTATGTTTAGTCTTCTTTGGATAGATGCTAAGTTGCATCCAATTCAATGCATGGTGTTATTCCAAATAAATTAAACAGTTTCCCAAACTTAATTAATTGTTCATTTTTTTATGCACACATAATTTATGAAAACATAATTGACTTATATAGGTTAAGAATTTTTTTTTTAAATTATATGAAAGGGTTCTTAATACATTAATTTTAAATAATTGAAAAATTGATTTTATTGTTTTTTTTTCTAAATATACTTATGAAAAAAAATTGTCCAAAATTATTTTCTAATGTATTTCAAAATCTATAAAGTAAGAATATGAGATGGTCTAGTGGAAAAAATGTTAATTCTTGTAATACCTAAAGTCAATGAATTTATACATTTTATTATGAAAACAAAAACAATTATTTAACCTTATGGTGTCACGCTTGCTTAATTATCATATGGACTTGGGTAGGAAGTTTTACACTTTGAAAAGGATCCAAGAAAAAGTTGAACTTGAAATCTAAAGTGTGGACCCATTCTTCAACTAGATATTTAAAAGAAAAAACATGGAAGAAACGAAAGGAGTGGAAAAACGTAGATAGAAAATAAAGACGACACGTGCTCATTTCTCAACCTTTTGATGAAGTTCGTGTTTTTAATTTGATTATTTAGTGGATGGGTTTCTAATTCATCATGGGTTGAGGTTGAATGTGATTTCAATAATGCTTTTTATGGTTCAAAACCATGTGAACAGTAACAGTCAATGTTAAAGATAAAGTTGCACTGTTGAACACACTGAAATGGCAAATGGTGGCATTCCAAGCAAAAAAGAAAATTCGTGGCTAGATATCCTTTCAGGGAAAAGAATGAAAAATATCAACACAATCAAGTACAATACCTTATCTACAAAGTATATTATAAAGCTAACCTCCAAATCTCAACACGTACAAATTAACATTTTGTACACAAATTGTTTTGATTTGTCATGGAAACTTGGATATTTTGTGTCAACAGTTTCTTGACCCCTTCAATGATGGAATCATTCTTTTGACTCCCTACCAAATTTTTCCTCCTTCAAAGCTACCTTCTATTCTTCATTTTCCAGCACAATTTAATTAAAGAAAAAAAGAAACGCTATAATAATTTCTATGTTCTAAATTACTGATTTTGGTGGGCTAAGCTTTTGAATTTTTCACTTTTCTTTAACTTTTCTTTTTCAATATTTTTTTTCTCTGACTTAATAATTTGTTGGTATTTTTGGATTATCCTTGAAATTGAAGATGAGGACCAAGCAGTAATCGCTGATTCAGCAATGACTGCTTCACGAGGTAGTTCCATTGTGGATTCTCGTATGGGGGGTTGATGTTAGTAGGAAAGTTGCAAGATGAACTCAGGTATTTCTTTGATGGGTACAACGTTTCCTCATCAATGTCTGAAAGTTGGCGCTTTGGCCTCATGTTTTCCATGTTGGAGAGTGAAGGGTTCAATTGGGTGTTCTTCTGAAACGTGTAGCTATTGGCGGGGTTGTTGATTGGAGAGGATTGTTGTTCCAAATTCTCACTGTTGAAGCCTGCACTGGATCCAATCCCTGGTGGGTTGGAATGATTCTCAGATAAGAAACTGCTAAGAACAGAGTAGTCCATGGCATCCAACAGGTTGGAGAAGGACACAGATTTCTGAGACATCAATGTGTTCTGAGGAGGAGGAGGAGGAGGAGGAGTTGGAGATTTTAAGATTGGCAAAAGGGTCTCTTTGAATAGGTGTTCCTCTGCTTCATCTACCTCACCTACCCCTACTATTGCCTCTGTTGAAGTTAGAGCATGTTTGGACTTCTTGTAAATCCGACACAACACCCAATCATCCAACTGCAATAATAGTTCATGCATCTCAGCCATTAGCAAACAACATGTGGTATTGTTAACGAAGTTTTAAGAAAAATCCCTCATCAAAGAAATCATTACATGATCCAATCAATCTCTCTACATGACACATTATCAAGTTTGATTAGTAAATTAAACATCATAACTGTGTCAAGTGAAACTTGATTATAACATACAGTCTCACATACTGAAATAATTTCTTTTGCATTCTACAATAAGAATCACCAGAAAACTGTAATGGAAATAACCAAAATTTAAAACTGTGGTAATTGATTGGGACATGGGACACTTACTCTCATGGAGGAGTCTTTGAGCTTAATGGGTTTGTTGTAGTCTACAAGGCGATATTCATGCATGATCCAATTGGTCTTAACACCCTTTGGGGGTCTTCCTTTGTAGAACACCAAAGCCTTCTTCACACCAATGTTCTCTTGAGCTACTCCACCTTGCAATGATGTCACTATGGTCTTATCTGTGCCAGTGGCCTTCCAATACCCTGAAGCAGCTGCCCTGTTTGGCCTTGCACCATTTGGGTACTTCCGGTCTCTGGGACTGAAAAAATACCATTCTTTCTCCCCAAAGGTTGCCTTTGCTGTTAGAAAACCACATCAAACACTGGTTAGTGGGCTTCAATAACACACACCACTGCCTCTAATTTGATATCGTATTTTATCATTGAATAATAAGACAGAGACACATATAAGGGCCATGCATTATTTATCATTTATCTTTGTTAAACCAAAAAGAAAGGAAGATGAAGAGAGACAAACCTGGCAAGTCCCATGGATCTAGCTTGTAGATATCAACCTCAGCAATGATGGAAACGGGCAAGGGTATGGATGCTACCTTTTTACTAAGGTAGTGAAGAATGAGCTCTTCATCTGTAGGGTGGAACCTAAAACCGGGTGGCAAATTGGATTCAGGGCGTCCCATTATGTGGGTGGCTTTGATGAGGGTGAGAGTGAAGAAAGAAAAAGAAGACACAGAAGTGGGTGGAGGTAGTTGAAAATGGCACAGAAGAGGGAAAGAGAGGATTGAAATTTTTGGGGTGGGGAGAAGGGAGGGCAATATATGGTTGTGGTAATTTGTCGCCATGTGGAAAGGGATTAGGTTGAGAGGGGTAAGGGGGTATGAATGAGAAGAAGAAGAAGAGATGAGTTCAAAAAATTTCCTAGTGGGGACCATGTAAAGTGAAAGAAGCAACGAGGAATTGGTGATGGCTAGCCACAACATCTAGGAAGAGAAAGTTGATAATGCCTCAATCACATTGCGATATTATGCAATTGCAAACACTCCCACTTTTGTCGTTTCTCTTGGATTATTCTTCTGCAATGGCGGCGCCAAGTGACATCATCGTCTCTAGATAACACCGCGACACGTGTCATTGCCTAACCCACAAGATCACCTTATTCATGCCAAAATATATGGTGTTTAATTTTCTTGTGTTGGTATTGGTCCACTTATGAACTTGGAAAGTGAGAAAATATTATAGAAAAATACTATCTCATTATTCTGTTGAGAAAATGTATATTTTATGTTACTGGGTGTTGTCATCGTTGTGGATTATCATGCGTGTGCCTTTGACACTTTGACTGGATTCCCATTCTCTTATTTTACACTACTGCCTCTATAAATTTCCCTTTTATTGTTCATAATACTTCAAAATGACCAATGCAAACTTCCTTCTGCTTAATTAACCATAAATATTGAAATTAAATTATACACATGCAACTACATTGCATGCTTCATGAACAACTTTATCACCAAGATAATGTTATTCAATTTATATTCATCATATTGTATAAGGATGTGGAAAAAAAAAAAAACTTTTTCAGAAACTGTAGCCATAGCCATAGCCTAAAAAAAGTGCTGCTAGTGCTTTCTGACGTGGGCCAAAAGAGATAAAATATCCTCTTCGTTGGAAAACATTTTGGAAGGAAATTCAATTTTTTTTTTTTGTATTTTTAGGATTGTTATACATTAATTGTAGGTTTTTTTTATCACACCTCTCAATAAGGATTTTTCTTCATCCATCCCTGCATATTGTGTATATTACTAATGAAATTTCATGAACTCCAATACTTTATGATATTGGTGAATTATATTGTGTTTTTTCTTTTTTCTGATTAAACTTTTTTTCTTCTTACCATTATATTGTTGGAAAACCCTAGAATTTGATATGGCTTTTTTTCTACTCCATTGATTTATTTATATAAACCTTTTAAAGTGCTTGAATGTGGTTTATTCTAAGAGAACATTCCATGTGTTGTAAAGCTTAAATTCTCAAGATTTTTTATCTGCATGCCAGCTCATGGTCGATAAGGATTGCACTTTCTTCCTCGTACCATATGCATGCATCTTAAATTTTGCATGGATGTTTTATTGCATAATTATAATAAGTGTTTTATGTTATGGATACGAAGATTTATACGTTTTATGATATTTAGTTTTCCTCTAACACAATTCATTATTTCAAATACTTGAGAATAGTTTCACCTAGGCCAAAGATTTGAACCAACGTGATTTATATTTTCTAATCAATGATATTGTTTTGTTGTAAAATAAACTATATTGAAAAGAATATCTATTTTAAATGCACTTAAAATTATCGAGTGTGGTGGTATATAGTCATTTCATGTAATGATTAGTGTATCTTAATCTTATGGTTAAAAATAAATAAATATCAAGGACTTGAGTTTTTTTAATTTATTTTGATTAATTAATTGTTACCTTAAATGATGTTTTCGTTCTATCAATAATGGTACGTACAATATTACATTACTTTTTTTAAGGAGATATTACAGTAGTTAAAAATGTTGAACTTTCAAATTAACAAATAAATTATAATATTTAGACATATTTAATCATATCGAAATCATTTTTTGTGAAATCACTTATGTAATATTATATTATGACATTAATTAGTTGTAAGATAGTAACACAATCATTTTAATGAACAAGTCATTTTTTAAATATGATGGGGATATTTTAAAAAAAATTATAATTTTCCTCACTATATTCTATAAAATCCGCAAGTTTAAACCCTAATTTTTTAATATAAAATTAGTCCTTTAATTTTTAATTATCCGTAACTATATTTAATTATATGTAATTGCTTACTTTAGACATGATATACTATTAGAGAAAACACATTATACTTGTGACTTCTTTTATAAGATTAAAAATGTAGTATCTACGTGAATTTGTTACTAAATATAATTTTATAGTAAATATTTTTAAAACTGAAAATTTAACAAAGCTACGGATAATAAAAAATTAAGACATTAATACTGGGTAAAAAGATATTCAAGGATCAATATCATGAATAATTAAAAATTAAGAAACTAAAATTATGGATTTAATAAAATACTGGGACCAAAATTATAATTAAGTAAAAAAACTTAAAACATAGTTGTAAACACAATTAATTATTTTTATCATATAATTATAGAAATATACATGTCGTATTTAAAGAAAAGTGAAGTATAAAATAGATGTCTTTAATTTACAAGATTATCATGAAACGAATATTTAAATTAAAATAGTTAGTTGAAAATTAATGCTACTTTAATTTCTTATAAGACGATAGTTAGTTAAAACTTATTAAAACATCCTATTTAATAAGTAGAACTGTTTAGTAAAATTATTTTTCAAAACAGAAACCTATTTTTGTGATTATGATTTTGGATTCTTTTGTTAAATTTGAAGTTTATTACACAATTATTTAATAACTGAATATTTTGGACAAATAAAATTTTAATGAAAGTAATTATTTTAATGAATTTTAATACTCTTACGAGGACTCAGTGCACTAATATTATTCGTATACTTTGTGTATCAAACACGTAAGTGACGACGGTATATTCGAAAAAATTTCCTTTGTTCATGATGTTTTTATGGTTATTTGGATCATCTGCAATTTTTCTTCGACCTAAAATATTAAAATAGTGAGCAACTTTTGGTGAGGCATGTTAAGTATGAACAAGACTCAATCCATGATTCAGATCACTAAAGTATGTTGTTTCTGAATTTCAAGTTGCCCTATTCACACCTAAATTATTGGGATAAGTCTCTTTAGTTTAGGTATGCACTTGATTGTAACAGGATAAGAAAATAAATAAAAATAATAAATATTATTAAATTATATAGTATATATACAAGTTGGGTTTAAATAATAGTATTTCAATTTATTATATCATCATATATAGATAAAGAAAATTATACTTTCTTCATTATTTTATATGAAATTTTAGACAAAAATAATTTATTCTAAATTAATAGTTGTTTGATAAAATTAATGATACATTAAAATGAAAATCATTACTAGTTAACTGCTAAAAGAAAATGCTTTTGTACTCTCTTTTAATTATAACTTGTCATGATAAATTAAACATTTTTTTACACACAATATATATAGAACTATATATTAGTTTAAAATTTATTAGATAATATTGTTTGGATATACACAAGAATCTCTCCATAAAAGGTATCTGTATATGTATATTGCTTAGAACGTAAGACATGAAGGCTCCAATAATTTTGAACCCCACGTGTTGTTGTGGGTCACTTGCAACTTGATTTGTCGAAGATAAGTTACACACCCAATACCAAAACCAACAAGGAACCATGCAATAAACACAATAAATTTTCAAAAAAGTAATAATCAACCAACCATGCACTCACGCCACCTCCATCAATAACTTTATTCACTAATCTTTCTTTCATCACCACATAACAAACTAATTAATTCAACCAACAATGCTTCTAACCATTCATACGTCGTACCATTCATTCACACAAATAATATGTTTAGTTCAAGATTTAAATCTTAATATAGTCGTTTTAAAAAATATATTCACATTTTATGTATTTAAAGTTTAAACGATAAAAAAAAAAATTGTTTCGGTTAAAAAGTCTTAATATGGATATGAAACTTCGAATTAGAACATTCAATATTAATTACGTTAGATTTTTTTTTCTTAATAAACCTTTTATATTAAAATTATCAATTAAACATCGATATAGTCCATTAAACATCAAAATTTCCAAAAGTTAGCTAAAGACTATATGCTTTGAATACCATATTAGTATCATGATATAATGATATGTTGATTGAGATCATAAGTCACGTACACTTCTATAAAAAGTAATCCAATCTTATTCTAAATTCTTTAACTATTTTTGAAATTTAATTAAAACATCTATATCAAAGCTTATAAAATTTAGATAATACATGTATGATATTTTATACGTTGAGATTGATATCATTCTTTCTTTAAAATCTTAAAATTGTTAAATTTTTTCATTAATACTTAATATTTGGATTATCCAACATAATATTAATATATATGTATATATATTTGTCATTCTCGGAATAACCCAAATGGCAAAGACAGTCATTGGCATGTGGTCCAGGTTCATAGGAGTGTGAAGACTTTATCTCTTCTTTCTGAAATTAGTATTGTACCTAATGCACTTGGCTTTCCATCTTTATGATGAAAAGAAGAGTCAAAAGAAGTATATAATGAACTGGTTGGACCCTTCTGGGTGTATTTATGTCTATCCATAACATACATGATTGAAGTGCTTCTTCAATTCTAATTCTGGCTAATGGGGTTTCATTTGTCAATCATGGTATAATTTCTTTATAACCCCATTCATTATTTTATTGCTTAATAGTAAATGAACAAGTTTTGATCTCAATTAGGGTACCATTGAAATCGAGTGTCTCCAATTAGTAACAATAGTAATTGTGAGGAGTCCTAAGAAAAAGGAAAACCTTGCAATTTACAAAAGTGTTGTGAGGATAGGTTGGTTGTGTACGACGTACAAGAAGTTAGGTCCTGATTCTTTGGACCGAAGGAAGAAGAAACAATGAGACTTACTATAAATAACATATCAGGTCTTAGAACTTTGAATTCAACCAAAATATCATGTTTCATGCACATTCTTATTTCCTTAAATATCTATCCATCTATATACCTTGCATCCTTTATTTTCACTTATTTTTTAAAAATAGTTTCATACGTCATGTATTATATGCATGTTAAAAAAAAAAAAAAAAGAAGAAGAAGCACTGTTATGAAGCAAAGGTG